ACAATCAGAGCATAATCTATATTAAAGAAAATAATTAATATGCCACACATCCAGCAACATCAGCCACCCCCCCCTCTCCAAAGAAAAAAATAGCTTTATTTTAACATCAAAGGTCTCATTTTTACCCCCAATTGAAGACATTGGATAATCTTCCAGATATAAGTGAATCACTCCACTTTGATGTTTGAGAGCAAGTACACACGAAAACAAGGACTTGTTTATTTCCTGTTATCTCACTGACCACAGTGACCACAGAAGGTTGCTGACCAAAGTTAACAGGCTAAATTGACCGCTAACTATAGTCTTTGATGTATCAGACAGCAGTGCAGTCATATAACACGCCTCCTTGCCTCCTTTTTATGTCCTTCATTTCTGCTGGGAAAGTAGAGAAAGAACATAAAGTTTGTTCCCTAGGAAAGTTTGGTTACAAAGCAGAAAATCCATCATATCCATGCCTAACTTTTGGCATATAGTCTAGGAGAAAACAAGGCAAAAACAAGTTAGAAATTGAGGAAAAGAATGGGGTGCATTGAATGATTTAAAACTTCCAGCAGAGAAAATATTCCAAGACTTTTGGTAAGTAATACACTGAGAAAGACGAAGTAAAGCAAAGTTTAGTAACACGAGAATACAATTTTCTACATTTTTGAGATAATTACTGCTCTTTGGTAGCAGGGTTTTGTTGCTAATGAGCTTTACGTCTTAAATTTGAATAGTTCTTTTTGATTGTTAAGTGAATTTTTTCTTTTTATTTGTTGTATTTTACTGATTTAAAATTTGATGGAAAATTGAAAAATTCATAGTCATTTAATCTCATAATTTTGGTTATTACGTATAATTTTTTTAGAAGGGGGATGGGGCTGTAAAAGAGATGAAGTTATCTTCAGGAAATGTTTTTCAGTTTTTCAAACACATAGGTAATGAAACTGTTCAACATTTTCAGTGCAAAACTTCATAATGCACATATTATATAATTTCCCAAAATTAAAGGAACAGATAGACCTACATGTGTCATTTTCGATAAAAGTAAGCTTTGAGTTGGCAGCTCCCATGGTGAGAGATTTCCTTCAACCAATCTCCATTGTTATCATTCTTCCTCCACCGTGCTAATATTTCAGGGAAGACTCACAAGTCTGGAGGTATTGATTAGGAAACCCAAACTCATTTCAGTTTTAATTACACAGATTTCTTTGGTCTCTAGTGTTCATAGATGATGGGAATGTGGTATATGCACTTAAAAACTCATCTGTATTCTGTAGGTCTGGGATCCATGGAACTTTATTACAGATTTTGGTCCAGCCATAAGGGAATATATGTATGAATGAATGAACAAACAAATGAATGAACAAACAAACAAATGAAATAATTAATTAATTAATTAATTGATTAATGATGATATTTTTTATTTTTGTACGTCATCAATTTCTTTTTAAAACCAGAATTGCAACACTCCTTTGCTTGGATTTAGAAAAAATTCTAATCAGCCTTCTTGCTTTTTATAAGGAGAAGTTTAAGCCATTAAAAAAAATCTTTCTTAGACCAGTGGCTTTCAACAGAGAGATGTATGGACTGCAGTAATGGAAGTACCACTCAAGGGTAGCTCAGCTATCTCCATCCAGCGGGTTAGAGGTGGTTAGGGATTTGTACATAGCTCTGGGGTCCTCTACACGATTATAGACCCATTTCCATTTATTTGATACATCAACTTAAATTTCAGGAAATGCCTGAAAAGGCTGTACAAGGAGTACTAGGAGTTCCTTGAAAGTGGTTCCTAGCCGTAATCTGCATGTGTAATTAGTCATGTCTGCACAAATAGCACTTCATGTGTGCAGTTTATTATGTGGCTGGTGTCCTGTTACCTTGGCTTTATATCTACTGATGAACAATTAGCGACAGAAAGCTCCTTCTTAGCGCATGAACCTTGGCATTATAATCTGGGAGTACAATGACTTGGTGTGATGAACACAGGAGATAAGGTCCATGTGCAGGGCAATATTCAGTGTGATATGATTACTGTATTGATCAGTGAATCTGAAGCTCAGGAAGCCAGTAGCCCAGGAGGGTCCTTTTGGGACAGTGTAACCCACTCCATAGAGGAATTGATAGAGAAGGGATCAGTCCATAGGATAACTCTCTGTAGCTGTCCACAAGCTGTGGTTACAAAAAGGTAAGAGATGGTGCTGTTAGATCATCATTAATGGCGTCTGGAAGGGACATCATAGAAACTGTCAAGGAAGAGATGGTGTCCAGAGAAGAGATGGTGTCTTGATAAGAAATGAATTGTGTCTTGGGAGGAGAAGAGCAGGGTCTTGAAAAAGGAATGTCTTGAGGAATTATATATTGTGGAGAAATACAGTTGTCGGTGTATTGCCATTTTTAAAAAAATCAACTTAGCTGAGATATCTTTTTAAATTATAGACTTTTGAAATAATTTCTAGACATCATGCCTTAATGCGAGGGTAGTGAAAGGTGTTCACTTAAGTCTTGTTCTGTTAAGACCTGTACCATGTTTGGTTATGGTGGAATATAGTGAAGACTTAGTGAACATCTGTATATACAATATCTGTGTACAGTACACTCTGAGCAAATATGGTATTTGTGCACCTGCAGGCATACATGTAATTAAGCATGCTGGAAAATACTGTATACCTTCATCAGGTTGATACTAGTACATTAACATGCAGGTGTTCAGCTTGATGAAACAAAGCTGACTCAGGCAAGGAAATTCTTATTGTAGATCTAAATTATTTATTGTTCAGGAAAGGGTCTGTCTTCTGTGCATCTTTGTTTATTTCAGTATACAGCCACACCCAAAATTTCCTACAAAGTTATTAATTTTTTAATTACAAGTATATACCATAGATGAAAATTAAGTGTGGAATAACTGGACATTAGTTTTGTAATGGACATTAGAAATTCATTTGTGAGCATTAATGGTTGTTAAGAAATATACTTGCTGGTGATCTACGGCATTCATAGACATGATTAGAAGACATTTGTAGCTAGTGTGCTACCCATTCTAAACAGGCTAATGCTTTTCATTTTTCTTACATAACCATCAGCAAAAAGCTTATAGCCGTATCTAGGAACACGAGATAAATGTACATGTATGCCAGCATATTGTCATCTGTTGTAAACTGCACTAAGATGTAGTGGAGGGTGATATACTAGTATAAGGACCAGGCTTTTTAAAATACTTTACCAAATTATTTCAAGCTGAGTGGCCAAAAAATACAGATTCCTTGGTGATTAATTTTAAGACCTTTTGTAATATCACTTGCAAAAAAAAAAAAAAAAAAAGAAGTAAATTCAGCCTGAATGTCATGCTGGCTGCTTTGTTCTACATATGAATAGCTCTAACATGATTTGAATTTTGAATTTAATGATTTATGACTATGAAAGAGACTATGAGAGATGGCAATAAATAATCCAAGCTCTGCATGGTTACTACAATAGCCAGTAGCCTTGGCACTATATGAAAAAATGTGACCTTTACAAGTTTTTAGAGAAAAAAGGGGCACAAAAATCATGTCTCAATCTGAACAAAACCATCTGACCCAGAGCATGTTAAGATAGCAAAGGAATTAAGTGCCTCATTCCTTACATCACCTTCCAACACAAATTTTAGGCAATCTCAACTTTTATATATATCTAATGCGTGCGAGCATGCGTGCCTGTTTGAACAGGTATTTCGTTGAGAGTAAAAGTCAAGTCTGCTACCCATGAAGGGTCAGCCCATCTGGAGTTTTACTGCACATTAAGCATGGCAGGTATAATGAGTTGCTTTTACTAGTACATCTGGGTGAGGTGAAAGGGTCTGTTAGTGTAGGTTGTGGTGATATAATTCAGCCAAATTTGTCTGCAGCCCCAGAGGTCTCACTTTTCAAAAGAAACAGCATTCCAATTCCAAATGCAGTTATATGATATCAGATTGGCAATTGGGGTTCTAATGCTTGTTTATTTCGAAGGTAAATAGTCATTTGCTGATCAAATATGCATGTGTTTGATGTGATGTAATTATTTACTGGGAAGGATTGGAACAACTTTCATCTTCTGTAAGCACGTCAGCTGTCAGTGAGTGCATTTCAACTACTGTATCAAGGTAAGAGAAAGAGAGAGAGAGAGAGAGAGAGAGAGAGGTGGAGGGGGAGAGAGAGAGGGATGGAGGGACTTTCGCTTTCATTATCAATTCTCTGAGTAGATACCATGTACACACCTCAATATAATATATGCTAGGTATTACTTTGTCGTTATCAGCTTGAACAACCTCCTATCTTTACACCTGTGAGTGACTCTGGCACAGTTAGATAATGGGAAGGTGGGCAGACATCACAACTTGATATGGCAGAACTTGGCAACAACTGGCAGGTTCATCCTGTCATTAAATTCTTTCTTGATAAGAGATGTCAGGGATGGTTTTTAACTGATCTTGGTGGTAATAGGTTATCAGATTGGAATTACTTTCACAGATGAAGTGTCTCTGTAGATGGGTGACTGAAAGGTAAGTGGTAAGTTGGGTTTTTGAATTTTGGTGTTTTTTTTTTCATATTTCATGATGGGAAATTAATTTTTGTTTTGAGAACTGAATATTTTTTTTTATTTTTATTTCAATTTAGTAATATATTTATTGTTTGAAATATCTTATTTATGCTACCCTGAGTGTCAGAGCAACGTAAAATCTAGCTTGTTAAATATACCTTGTGATGGAGTCGCTTTTACTAGCTCTGACGAACAGCGACAATCTGAATTGGAGGATAGGAGTTGTGAGCTGACCGTGGCTGAATTCTTGTTTTGTTTTTACATATACAGTATACAGTATATATCTTAAGTAGCTGAAAATTAAGTGATAATCATTATGGCATGAGGTGGATTATGGAAAAAAAGCTATTTTTTCTTATTTTGACATGAGATAGCAGCAATATCATGTTTGGTCCAAAAACCATTCTCCATATAGTCTGAGAAAAAAATTGAAAAAAAAAAAAAAAAAAAAAAAAAAAAAACACTTTGTGAAAAGCATTGGGACTATTTAACCAATGAGCACAAAGATGAAAGCTGGAGGGCTGTTTGCCCTATTATAATTTAACAAATTGATTGAAAGAAGGGACCACCTTTGATCCCTTGAAGTGGATTAAGTTTGAAACAATTAACTTTGACTGAAAGGTAGCCTTTCATCTCTTGGCTACACCTTTTTATTACTTTTCCAGAGGTTTCTTTCGAAATTTCTAGGGTATCAGTTTCATTCAAATCTGTAACAACTATTTAGTGTTCTTAACGAGAAATGGAAGAGAAAGGGCTATTTTACAATCCATCCCATCTACTGTACAATTTCGCACATCAAAAGAGGTAGTTGTTTCCAATTTTCTATTGTAAATAACAGGGAAATATAATATTACTAAGATACTTGAGTAATGTTTTGTATTACTTTTTAAGTGCTTCCTTTTTTTTCCATGTCAGTCAACATTGATTGTATACCATGATCATTTCAGTAGTAGATATAGAAATGGGTTGTACATTGATGTGATAATTTTTTTGTAGGAAATGAGAAAGGTTAGATATCGCTGTAGACTCAATATCAAATGTCATTATCATAATTTTTTGTCAAGGTTTTTAGACTTGAGTGTATTCAGTGTTGTGATACTAAGAGTTAGTGGTACTGAGTATACATCCAATATAGGTAAGTGGAGGGTGCATAACAGGTGGTCTTTTATTGAAATATTTGGGCAGGTTTTGGGTTTTCCAGGAGTTTCATGGAAAAAAGACTTTGTTCTTTGTATGTGAGATAAAGACCTGAATTCAGTGCTGTATAGGAGTACATTTATCTGAGACAACTGCCCTAAATGCACCATCATTTAAACATAAAAAGACCCTTGGATTGGCTCTTAATAGTTCAGGAAGATGATTTAATGTCTGCGTTCCTGTATGCCAGTGGTAATGTCTGGGCAAGTTCACAGCTTAATGTATCTCTGGTGCATTTATGACAACTGTAATTGGCTCAGCGGCAACAAGTCCTGTTCAAAGCGTCCAAGCATAAATGCCCCCATTTTATCTTCTGCTCTACCTTGTCAGTAGTGTTTTATTGCGATCTTTATCTGAGCTGGTAAATCAAATGTGAATGGGATTGATCATACAATGAAAGAAAGGATATAAAGAATACATATAGTCACAGGGAGATATAACACAGTAAACATCAGCGTGCAAAACTCAAACTGAATTGTCAGCTATGAGATTGAAGCACTCCCACTCCTACTCTAAATTTGTTTGGATTGATCTTGACTTTGGAGGTTAAGTCTTTTAAAGATTCCATACCAAGTGGAACTTGTTTTGATGCAAGTAGACTGCAGGCTGAGTGAGAAGAGTGAGGTTAGCCACATATTATTCTTGGTGATGGGCTTGAAAGTCGGTGGGCAGGCTGGGAAATTGTGAGCATACTACAGGTGGTGTACTTTTTATTGAATACGCATGACATTTTTTTGTGTTCACCATTTCAGATGTAACAATTTAGTCTCTAACTGTGTAAATAATCCAGAAGTTTGGTATTTAAGAGAGGACGAGCTTGTACATATCATCTTTTGTAAATGTGACAAGATGTGTTCACCTCTCATCGAGTCTGTGTAATCGGCACTTGCCAGTTGACATGTTTATGTATAATAACAGATATATCAGACTTGGCCTGTGTGAAGTTCATAGGAATACTTAGCTAACCTGTCAGTGTTTGGTAGATGAGTGTACCAGTAATTAGATAGCTCAGTCTGTTTTTTTTTTTAATGAAAACATTGGGTGTAGGTTCCAATTAATCATCATGATTGAGTTGAGAGGAGGTGTGGAGTGTTTGGATATGACATTCTTCATGTCTGGATGTTGTCAGGTGATTTAAGGAAAGTTCATAGTACTTTAATAGTGGTATAAGTGTCCAACGTCCTGAATGTATTTTTGTGAGTGGGATGGGTAGGGGTGAGTTTGGATGGGAACATGTGTTAATTTTGTCTTTATGTGTTGAAAAAAAAATGTTGGAAAAAAAAAGAAAGAAAAAATGTTGAAAAAAAAAGAAAAAAGAAAAAGATATGTTAAGAACAGAAAGGCAGATTGTTGTCCTCAGAAACTTCCCACCATTGAAATATAATGCAGCTGCATTGTTAAAGTAAACTAAATAAAGGATGCCTTGAGTCATGTCTTCTTCCTTCAGAGGCCAATAAGGTTTTGGTTTTCGTTCTATCCTTTCTAAACATAGTTTCAAGCAAAGCAACCCAAAACCTTTCTGTTTGAGGCGCTTACTAATGAAGCTTATCTTTAAGCTGCATTTTCCATCATGGCACTTCTATTATTTATTCCTCCTTTTTGTGGTGTGTGGAGGTCTTGTAGACTTCTTGTAGATTAAAATCCTTGCAGAAAGTCCTCTCTTATCTGTTTCACCACAGACCAAGATGATGGCTGGATGATAGTTAAAAACAAGAGAGTCAGTTGATTTTTACTGACATTACGAAATTGATGCCTGTTGAAGGAGTGAAATGAGCTATTAGACCTGAAATTGAAAAACTGAGTGATGATTCTTTCCTCGGGGGAGAATTGTTTCAGCCCTAGATTTTGCATAACTTCATCACAGAGTTGCCTTTCTTGTGTATTGTGATAATGATTGCTAAAATTTAGATCTATGGCATAGGGCAGATTAAAAAATAACAGGATGTTTTCCAGCAAGAATATTCTCATGAGTGCGTGATGTGTATAGATAAATGGATACTCTCGTTACTGAATACTTAATGATTCCTGAACCTTCATTTTTCGGAAAAAGCTAATCTGTTTGATGTGTTCAATTTTCAGGGATTTTTTATTAAATAATTTACACATGGATATGATCCTAACTCGAATATATACTCATTAGACCTTAGGTGCAACCAACATCCTTGGTGCAACTGACAGCATTCACTTTATCCTTGACTTGCAGATCATGGGATTTTGATGTAATTGTTTTCTTTGGATCAAACAGTACTGATTTTTTTTGATGAAAAGTGCAGATTTAGTAAGCACATGCCCTTTACTTGTGCCCCTGATTGTTTATATACATGTAATTCTCAGCAGTCAACATGGTCTACTTTTATTTTTTCAGATGATAAGAAGAATGTGATGCTATTGTTCCCTCAAACCTGTTGTACATGAACATATATACTCCAATGAGGAAAGGCACATAGCGGTTTTCTACAACAGTGGAAGACCTTGGGATCTGAAAAACAGGACATTTAGAAGCGAATCAGAACTTATTTTGCTTATATTGTCCAGTCTTACCAAGATGTGTTATGTAATAATTACAGTTCGTTCTCTGTTATGGACACTACTGACCCTAGTGGCCACCATGGCAGTGGTGTCCTCCCTCATCTCCCCATACTGGATCATGGGGACACAGACTGTAGTGGACATTAAACCAGTGACCAATGACTCCTCTGTCAGCACAAGTAAAGAAACATTCCAGTCATCAATAGGGATATACACACGCTGCACAAAGCTTCATTTGGTGGGGAGATATGTGGACAATTGTGCTTCATTTATTGAAGGTGCAGGATTTGATATGGATTCAGAACAGTTTTCTCATTTCTGGAAAGCCTGTCTCTTTATGTATGGTGTGGGGCTGGCTTTGCTGACCTTTACAGTGATTACAGCTGTACTAAGTCTCTGTGTGAGGGCAATCTGTAAGAAGAGTATTTTCACTGTCTCTGGACTTATACAGAGTATTGCAGGTAGGTATTATCAGGGGTAGGGGAGCGGCTGGAATATAGGTTGTATTGTAGGTACTGCCATGTTGGTCATGTGTAAAACACAGGTTTTCTTGGGGAGGGACAGGCAAGAAGACATTTTGGGGAAAATATATTAGGGCTGTTATTAAAGATATCAAATATATCTTTTTGGATTTTTATTTTTAAAGATAGTGAATGAAAGGTACTTCATGTTCCCTTGTTTGCATCTGACCTTAGACAGGCACCCGCATTTTTTGCTGTCTGCATTATAAGTATCAAATTTTACAACCTTCTTAGCCTTTTGAGTAGATTTGTTGAGCTAGTTAATTGCGCCACTTGCAGATTTTGATCTTAATACGCCTGTTAAGATATGGCTGGGATGTGAGGTGACCTGAAGATAGGGGCCCATTTTACGAGTCCTGATAACATTTCTTGGGCCACTGGGTGCAGACAGTTACAAGATGTGACATTATTCTGTGGTTACAGCAAGATTTTGTATTTCATTGTGAATATGCAACTGTTGAGGGGATTGCTGTTCTTTTTTCCTTAGTTGTAGTAGTTTATGTCAAATGAATAAAATTCTGTATACTAGATAGCTGTATGCTTATTATGTCTGTCATGCACTTCATATCAGTTTGTATTTGTATGCTACTCTCATAAGACAAGCACCTGTCATGACTTTACATTATATACATTACTAGTATGTTATATTTTTGCGAGAAGATAGAAGAATGGGTGTAAGAAGGAACATAAAGACTATGGGGTTCTCAGTGCAGAACAGAATGAATTTATTAAATTTGTTATGGACTCCCTGGTGAAAAAGATAAAGCTTGCCTCAGAACAAGAGACCTCTTTAACATTTTTGAGGATAAATTGCATTATGGGTTTGATATTAAATAAGTTCATTAGCTGCAAGAAGAGCTAATGTTGCTATATTGATAAATATATATTTTTTTCGTCTTTTAGGCTTGTTTTTGATAGTGGCCATACTCCTGTATCCCGCTGGTTGGGGGTCCACAAGGGTACGCAGGGAGTGTGGAGACACTGCAGCACCCTTTGAACTGGGAGATTGTTCATTAGGTAAATCACAGTGTGTTGTTGTGAAATCTTCACAGTTTTTCACATGTTAGCTTTGTTTGGAACATGTGAAAATTGTATATGTGGATGAATGAAATATTTCTTGGAAATAAGAGTGGAGAATGAGATGACATGAATTATTTGTTAAATTTCAATTAACATTTTAGTATAGAATTACTTTTGTAAGTATGGGTTTTAGTGTAAATATTTTTATATTATTTGAGAATTCTTTCTTAGATATTTATTGCACTGGTGACAATTTACATATTTAGATTGAATTTAGATCATAGGAATTAAGTCACATTGTCTGTCAAAGAGGATAATGACCATGAATTTCATAATACAGTTTATCTTTACATGTTCAACCAAAGAAAAGCAGCATAATCTTGAAAGTTTTAAAGAATAAATATTTTGAAAATTTTTATTACTGGATTTAACTTAAGACTAAGTAAAATTGATGATGTTGTGTCTCTCTCTCAGAATCTTCAGCAGGTCTACTGAAAATAGAAGTGGAACTTTTCTTAGTCTGGTCATGTAATCTGCATGTTTGTTTGTCAGTTGATCACACTTTCTGGTGAAATCTACAAGAAGGAGATGCAATGTTATCAATTGGACTAAAGTACAAGTCAAGGGATGTAAAATATGAATGGATGACTAACCTTTCCATTTAAACTGTGGTTTTAATCCAGGGCAACATCAAAATCATTATCAAATAACGTTATTTCTATTTTAGGCTGGTCATTTTACTGTTGCATTGGAGGGACCATACTAGTGTTCATCTGCTCAGTTCTGTCCATTCAAGCAGAGAGGGCCACATCTAGCGATAAAGTGGAGGCAGAAATTCTGGATGGAAAATACTTGGTGTGTGTGTTATGACCTGATACTGAAGCTGATATTCAGACACATTAATACTCATAGAGTTATTTCTTGATACCAAGGTAGAAATGGATTTTCGCTCTGTAAAGGACCAATTCGCTGAGAACTCTTCAACAAGGTCTTGAGATCAAGATAAGCCATTAGGATGGGCTACACTTACTGTACTTGATTCTTTAAAACAGCCCCAGAGCTCTTTAATCCCAAAAAAGGCTGTATAAACTAAATAGGTGCCTGGACATAGAGATAAATTAAGGGAGAAGTTTGTGATGTTACTTGACGCATTAAGACAAAGCAGACGATGTTATGTATTATCACAGAAGAAACTGGGAAGGTAAATAAACCAGTTTCCTTCAGAAATTTTAGATAGTGAAAGATTTTTCCATGTGGCAGAGTTGGTTTGACTGAAAAACAGGCTTACAATTAAAAATACCACTTTCTCATTATTATTATTATATATTTATTTTCTGTTGTCATTTTCAACATTTAAATGTCTCTAAAATTATTTGTACTAGATGTTGTGACATATGTCTGTTATACCTCCATATGATATGCCACAGTGCATTTTTCTATAAATCAACACAAAATATATGTGTAGCTTTTGATTGAATGACTTTGCCATCAGGTCTTATTTCTTCAGCTTCCATTTGTAATTAAGAAATTTTATATAAAATATATAATTTCACCTGTACGAAAAGGATACAAGGTATAGAATTACCACCTCAATTGTTCAAGAATGGAAGCAGTTAAAGATATTATTGAAGGAACAATATATGTTGGAGAGAACTTGGACAAAGATTATAAAAGTAGCCATGATGGCTGCTGACATTTAAGTTGTTGGTTTGTTTCTATGGAGTAGATTTCACTAAAAGTTTGTGATGAATTAGGTGCTAGCATCCAGTCAATCACCTCTGCCCCTGTGACATTCAGATGATGTCTGTATTTCTTATGACATAGCTGATGAAAAAATGTACTTGTCATGGTGTTTTGCGTTTCATGTACTTCTTTATTATTATTATATTATATGATAATGATGATTGCCAATTGTTTTGCGTACCATTTTAACAACAAACATATGATTTATTTAAACTGATAATGAGCAAAATGAATCACTGGAATTTCAAGTTGATTCCGAAGTTTATTTGTTTTAATCGTAGATTCCTGTATTTTTGCTCTCGGTTGTTAAGGCAATATTATAACAATGCTGTCTTGATGTATAAACATGTCCCATAAAGTTGACAATGACAGGAATTTCCAGGAATCTCCAATGACTTTTATACACAGTAACAATAATAGCTGTAGGTTATTTTTTTCTGCAGAATCATGATACATGTAATTATGAAATAACTATCTGACTCATGATGAATTATGACAGAGATATTCAAGGGTTTTAACCAATCCAGATGAAACTAGATGGCTTAAATAAATAATTTGATTTTTCATATTGATAAACATTTTAAAAGTCAAACATCTTTTAAGCATCATACTCAAGAGGCTGACTGACTTTAATGGGGTGTGACTAAAGTAAATTAGCATGTTCATATTTTTGTATGTGTATTTATATATGTTATAAACTATGTGGTGTTTTTCCATTTTGTGTTTGTTCATTTCTTTATTCATTTGGAAGAAAAAAGGCATTGAAACAATTACTCAGGATCAGAGGTGAACCTTGAACAGTTCTTAAAATCAAGTCAACATATCCAGTCATCTTAGTGGAAATTAATAAAAATTTGACCAAGGTTTACCAGGAAATTTTGTAAGATCAGAAATATTGATCCAGTAGCTTAATTCAAGCTGTAATTGACCGACCATGCATCTGGCAAATGGATAATCAGAGGTCATGGCATTACTCTAGTCTACCTGCACTAACATAATCATAACAAATGTTTCTATTCATACCCCTTCAATGAAAGGATAATTCTTAAACCTGTATTTCATACAATTTAAATTCATGTCTGAATATGACTAGCAGTTGAATTTGTAAAACAGTTCATGCAGATTAATCTTGCAGTGATTTGTATACATATTGGCATTAAGAATGTGCACTACATTTCAGATGCATTGTTTTATATAGGGAATTTAATAACGTGGGACCAACCTGCACGATCTTGGACAGTGTGCATGTGAGCTTACTGTATTTCATCTTAATCTGAATAAAATATTAACTTCAACTCTTATTTAGGTAAATAAATACCACCAACATGTACAATTTTCAGAAAATATTCCATAAGTTGTTGTTCAACTATATTTAAGACAGGAGGGGAGAATAAAAAAATACTGAAGAGTTAACGTTCTAATATCAGAAAAGAAATCTGCCTAGGGATTCTCTCGTAAAAACCAAGCAGTGCGCACTGTTACGCTGAATGCAGTAGTGGCGCTTGAGATTGGCGCAACTAACGCACTCGAAACCACTTCCTGTAGATCTCGAAGAAAGGGTACTAATAGTAGGTGAATGTGGTCCTAAGTTGGTGTTTATTCCCCAAAATGTAGAGTACACAGGAAGATGGAGCCTTGCAGTTAATACACAAAGGTAAGAGGGTGATAAGTACATCAAAAAGTACATCGCTATAACTGGCTTTGAATAAAATTAGGCTAATAAAACGGTGGGATGCATTTGATCAACATGATTCCCCTAGTCTCCTCGTCTCGATTTTCGCATTGGTAAGTTTTAGCACGTATAAAGACGAAAACCGAGACAAAAATCTCTCTGGAGATTACCCTTGCCTTCGTGTCACTGTATATCCTTACTTTCCACTTGGCTAGGCCTCACACTAAGACAAAAATTGCCATAATGGTTTTTGATATTTTTAAATCACTCGTGGCTTTTGGTGCTGTTGACAATTCTTTTTAATTATTGTTTTAACTTATCTTTGCAGAATGCTTAAAACTAATCCTGTATTATGAAGTGGCTGCATTATTTTTTTCACAAAACCTTTATATGCATAGTAAATACCTCTCTCTTGACATGATTTCAACTCTACCCTAAGGTGTCAAGCAGCAGCCATGGACCCAAAACTGTTGAAGGAAAGAGAGGCCTTCAAGAAGAGGGCTTATGCACAGCCTGTGGTAGAAAAGAAAAGGAAAGCAGAGAAGGAAAAGGCTGTAAATAAAGCCAAGAAAAAAGTGAAGACAAAGCATGTAGAGAGACCAAAATATGGTAGTTCTTTTCTTTAATTTCTGCCTAATTAATTGAACAATAATTTAATTTTGAGTGAACTTTGTGACATCTCTAACAAGATTCAGTGCTATATATTTGTATTATATTAAACATTTAGATGGTTTTCTTATCAGTTAAAATGCTAATTAAAAAAATTAAAACGGATTTAGTGCCTTATAAAATAACCAATGGGACCCAGTTCTTATATGTGAAACTTTAAAAGATATGAAAGTAAGAAATTTTTTGGAGGTAGTAATTTTGTTTATTATATGCATTTTCAGATGTGGCTAAATTGAATTACAAGTCTGCCTCTGGATCATCTCAGTACAACTTTAGTGTCCTGGCAAAAATTGTCAAGTTCATGAAGGTAAAAAAGTTACATATTTTACCTGTTTATTATGCATGATCAGTTCTCATTCAGTGTGTGTAATTGTATTCATCAGTGCATACTTCAGAATAATATATGTATTATGTATCCCAAAACTATGTTTTGTTCTGCAGACATTAGCCATTAGACCTTTATGTCTTAAGAAATGAAATTAGACTTTTATTGTGCAGTATTTAAAATGATATATATCTATATTCCAGACTCGTCACCAGCAGGGTGACACACATCCCCTCACCCTGGAGGAAATCCTGGATGAGGCTAACATGCTGGACGTTGGACTGAAGCAGAAATCATGGCTGGCATCAGAGGTAACAAAACTGCACTGTAGCTCTTAAGTTGTTATATTTTAACCTGTTGAAATAATAAAAAGGAAAAAACTACTACTACTACTATTACTACAACCACTGCTACTACTACTACTCCTGCTGCTGATAATTGAAGAGATGATAATAGAATAAACAATACCAATATTTGTTGTGTCTTATATAGAAATTGGGAATACCTGAAGTGTTTATTTTCAATTATTTCCTAACATTTCCTTCTGATCTTTAGGCACTGCTTAACAACCCCAAAATTGAGACAGTTGAGGGTTCAAAGTTTGCATACAAACCAAAATACAATATCCGCGACAAGAAAGGTCTTCTCCGTCTTCTAGAAAAGCAGGATCTCAAGGGTTTGGGAGGGGTGCTGTACGATGACGTCGAGGAATCTTTGCCAAAAGCTGAGAAGGCAGTGAAGGTGAGTTGGATACAGATGTAAATTGTGCTAAATTATGAATGCCATTTCTTGGACAGTTGAACTGAAACTGATTTGTGGTCTGTTTTGAATGTCCAGCCTCTCTGTGGTCTCTTTCATAATATTGAAAATTGCTAAGACATGTTTTTTTGTTCCTGTCTTTCTGGATATTACATTATAATGAATTATTGTACCCATCATATGCAATGTTAATTACTCCTTATAGACTGAAAGATATAAATCTGTGCATCAAAAAAAAGCATCATAACTGAGTATTTCCACATTTCTGTTCCCAGAATCTCGGTGATCGTATAATCATCATCACTAGGCCAGATAAAAAGAAGGTTCTTTTTTACAATGATAAGATGTACCAGTTTGATGTTGATGAAGGTATGATCAAGATTAGATAAGGTTATATAAATACTTGTTAACATATATATCAACACTTTTATGTATTTTGACCTCAAAAGATATAAATACCAGGTTTATATCACTGCACTGCCTGATCTGTAAATGTTTGATAACTGATCAGGCCTGTAGCCAGTAAATTAAAAAAGGAACTCTTTTTTTTTTTTTCCTGAAAAATGGGCCCATTACCCTGTAAGTTGAACCCCCCTGAGATATGCAATAAAACCTAGACCAAATTTTGTTTCTTTTCCAGCCAAAAGGGATTATAATTTGCACCCTACCAACCTCGCCCTCCTGATACATGTTTTCTGGGTGCCTTAATTTTGAAGTGAAATATTTGTGAAAGCTAGCCAAATACTGAAAATAATAATAAAAAAAATAGTTACATTGTTTTTATTTCTTTGACTTTTTCTACAATTCTGTAAAAAACCTGTTTTTTTAGAGTACCAGCAGCAGTGGCGCAGTGTTGCTGTGGAAGGGATGGATGAGAGGAAGATTGAGGACTACTTGGAGAAGGCCGGCATCACCTCAATGCAAGATATGGGTATTAAACGAGCAGTAAGTGATTTTGATTCTTATCTTTCTTCTGTATTACTTTTGGTTACAGGACACAACTCAAAAATGATAGTTTGAATATAGTAAATGAAAAGCTAGAGACTGTGTTATTTGATATGAATGACTCATCACTAATTTTATATTGCATGATACAAGCATTTATCTTCTGAGCTGAAAGTTTCAAAATTGCTTTAAAATTTAAATCAAAACCAGCATAACATTGCAAATAGTGCATCAGTAATGAGAGAGGTCACAGTTGCATATTTCATAGTTTGCATAGTTGAGTGCTTTCAATCGCATAAGCCATTATAGCTACACTTAGAGTCAAAAGTTACACAGATGAAAGATTTATTGTTAAATATGCACAATGTAAAACATTTCCATATTTTTATAGGGTCCAATACAGAAGAAGAAAGGCAACAGAAAGAGGGGTCAATTTAAGAAACTAAATGACCATTTAGATGGCATACTGGAGGACTATAATGCAACAGAGAGTAAATGAGTGCCATTACTTGTGATCCATAATCAAACACACAAGTAATAAGGGCCACGGTGTGGGTATGATGAGCAATGTATTACATTGTTGAACAGATATTTTCTTGGGGAAGTCAAAAGACAGGGTTAACATCAGAAAGTCTTGAGATTACAGCATCTCCGTGTCATTGCAAATTGAGTAAACTTGAGTGATCTTCTGCAGCTGGCCACTTAGTGTTCAAGAAATGTGGTCGGTCTGATACAGAGGTGATCACATTTTTTGTTTGACAAAAATGTGTGCAACTAGAGCTTTGTACAGTTTTACAGCTACTGGAATCATATTGATAAATGTTTTTGAAAAGTTAAAAATGTTTGTAGTTGAAAATAAACTTGTTACTCGTGGGCAGTTTTCTATGCATTTGAAATGTATTAAAACATTATTGACAGAATTGGCCATATTTCAAATCAAGCATTTAAGTAAGCATCAGATCTGCTATAAGGAATTTTAGACAAATGGCAAGCCCAATAAAGTACTGAAAGGGAAAGAGTAATTTCATATACCCAGATTATTTAAAGATGAAGAAAAAAATAAAAGAAGAAACGATGATGTTCCTAGGGCAGCTAGAGGCCCGTTTTTTCAACCAAACTAAGCAGTAAAATCCTCTGCAGTCACCAACCTCGCATAACTAAGTGCTGCATTGAAACCAGTATTGTTCAAACTTCCACTATGTAATTAAGGGCACCTGTAACTTGGATATTCATTTCAAGGCTATTAACTGGTCATGTGTGCAAAACCAAAAATTTTACTGATTCACTCTCATGTGATTTTTTTTTTTTGAATAATTTAAAGCCAAATTACAGCTTTATGGATGATCTCAGTGACAATCAAGTGTGGTGTAATCTGCCTTCATGGTAAAGCTTGACAAATAAATGCAGAGTCAGGCTTTTATCACACAAACAGCAGATTTGCAACATTTTTATTTAACATTGTAAAGAAAATTCAACGTGACCCAGCATGGTGAATTTATTTGAGAAAATTCTATCCAACACCCTTGTGCTTGGATAACTAGTGCTAGGCTTACCAGTTTACAGTTTATGGGTGCTATTTTTAACATTTTTTTCCAAGAGGTCTACGATAATCATGGTGACTGGTGAACCAATGTTTACTATAATGTGAGGCTTTATACGAAAAAACTTTAATGCATAGCATCCAGAAAAAAGAATGCAATCATAATGCTTTTTCAACTGGGTATCCTAAACAGGGGCTGGAGAGGGGGGCTGGCCAGAGTTTTTTCTTTATTTCATCCTTAATGTTGACAATAATAACTAAAATGACCAAACACACTTACAGGTCACTATAATGATCGAAAATAAACTTTCTTCCATTTTTGGTCAAAATTGAAAATCAACACCATAGCTGACCCTGGTCAAAAACGCTCAAAATGACCCAAAATTGACATTTTTCAGATTTCTGAAAAATGTTATCAAAATCAATCTACCAGACATGTCATTCATAAGAAATATGTGAACACGTCTGTATCTCATTAAAACCAAAACTACCAGTTTTAAAGCTATTCAAAAAGCATACCTGAGAACGGGGGCTGGTCAGTTTTTTATTTATTTCATCCTTAATGTTGATAAAACCACCATCCTAGTACTTAAGTTTGAAGCCCAAAGGTAAAACAGTTTTCCACTTAGACTAGTGTTATCAATGAAAGTGCACGGCGACAGACGTCCTTTTCACCACCCCCAAAAAATTGTTTCAGCTCCATGTGTGTACACAAACTGGACCTTTTGGATAAGGCTTTTTTTTTTGTGGGTTTAATATTTTTCACTCAGAACATTTAACCAGATAATTCTTTGAAATAACCAGTAATTAAAAAAAATAATAAAATAAACACCAATGTTTTTTTTTTTATTTTATTGCTGACTGTTACTAAGTGCAAATTAAGAGGACATTTAAATATTTTAAACTGAAAACAACAAAGACAGAGAACTCCCCAAATTAAATCTATGATAATGCTAAAACAATTGGCATAATTCTTGAACATTTAAAAGGGATTGGACAGTTGTGAATAATTGCAAAATGGAATAATTTTTTTACATGGGGAAAACTTAAATCTTCAGTGATGAAAATTGTATTAATAATGTTAAATGACAAAAAAATGAAACTTGTTACATTCCTTTTACCAACCCAAAGCTGGCATTTTCTTAGAGTTTTATTTTACATGAACTTTGTAAACAAATAATCTTTTATCGTCTTCATATCTACACCAATATATAATGGTAACGTGTCACGTTTATAACAGGAGGCAGCAAATTAAACATCAGACTGGCAGATGCTGAATCAAAGATGGAACTTGACTGTCAAAGATGGTACAATTACAGCCAGTCTTCGTACATTGAACCACCAAGCGCCCCACTGTGGAAATGCCAGGCCTTCGTCCTCTTGTCTACTCGATGGAATAAGCCATGAACATCATGTCTGGGGTGGCCGGGACCAGGGGGTGCCCTGGGGCCACAGGTTGAAATCCCAAATACATGAATGTCCGTATCAGGGAGGCTGAAAATAAAATGAAAATGTAATTTTTTTTAACATACATCAATTTCTTTAACGTACACAAATGTTGACAATATCATCAGTTACAGTTACTTTTACCACTTCCTCATAAAAATAATAAAATGTTTTTTTGGTACCACTGAAAGTGACTGCTTCTCCATTTTCTCTGGGAAACAATTTTTTTCTTGGAGATAGCATTGAGCTGTCATTATGACATCACAATATATATATATGACCGTTGGTAATGCAGCAATATTTACACTAACAAACCAGGCAAACACGTACCTCGATCACATCGGTCTTTCTTATAAAAGACAATAACATGACTGCATTCAAGCTCTTCTTCAGCGTACTCCAGTAGAGTAACAAAGCTGAAAAATGCAAAGCTTGTGTAAAAACATGCTCATACAAAATCTGATAATGCAATTTACACATACAAAGTATACATATACAGAAATCAATAGCCAGAGTATTTTTTAACATGAAACCTTTGCTTGAAAACTGAAAACTGCATAAACAAATGAGTTTGACATTTAAAATAAAAATTCCTACCTTTCCTTGGAGCCTTCTGGGAGAATGCCTGGTGGAATTTCAACAAACAGTTTACCATCCACGTAAACAGTGTCCCAGGTGACCACCATGCAGTCACTCAGAGTGATCCGGAAACACAAATTCGAGGCAACCTGTGTTTTCACCAACGCCTTTGCATCTTCCACAAGATGCTTGGTGGTGACAGGGGGCTCTTTTGAAACCCCCACGCCGCTGCCCTCTGTCATAAATGACACATTGGCGGCGTGGGGAACATCAGGAGCACCACAGAGGCCCTGGACCAAGGTTAATACAATACTGGACCAGGGGGCTCCTGAAATGATACAGCAAATTCAATTTGAAATCACTAGAAAAATACTTTAACCTATTCATCCTATTTTCCACCATAAATAATGTAATATAGAATAAATTTTTATACAGAAAATGCAATTGAAGGAATCATAATTAAAAAAAAAGTAATTAGATGAATCTTGAGTGACTTAAATTGTATTTCCTATAAAGTAATAATAATGATAATAATAATATTAATAATAATACATTTTTTAAAGTAATTGCCTCATTGCCATATGTTGGAGTTCAGGATGACAATTATGTATATCAGAAACCTTTTATAAACAAGTATAAACAGGTCCAAAGTACACAACACCTTCATAGATAAATATTGACCGTAGATTTCAACTGGTTCAAACTGGTTTACTGTACATCTTCACACATTGTTTTGGGCAATTATTAGGTATAATAATCCAAGGAACCTTTTGGCTTTAACAAGGCACTCTTTTGTAACACTCTATTGAATAAACAAAATTTAGCTCTTGATGCGGTGGTATATGTATAACAGTAACACTTTTGCAATTTCGATCTTATAACACGGATGTGGGTCACTCAATTCGTTATTATCTAACTTAAATGATATTTATTGGGCAACAGGCATTTTTTCGTTAAATTCAAAAACAATTTTGAGTTTGTAATAAAACACCACGAACGATTAAAGTCACACGATTTATAAATGGAAGTCAACAGCATAGCTACAATAATAACGTAACTTAGGCCGAAATGAAGGCCAAATGTAAAAGAATACTTACGACTGGGCGCTTTGTTTGGTCGGCATTTCTGATTTCACCTCCGTCTTCGGCCCAAAATTTTCAGTACAAAATATTGCCTTAGAGGCGGCTAATAGCATCTTTTCGGATCTCTTTAGAATTGATAAGTTCTGATAACACAAAATAGACGAAAATTGGATAAACTCCAAGACACGTCTTCCTCCTACGAGGACTACTCGATTTATTTACGATGACGTCATAGAACGGAGAAAGGATTGACCTGCAACAATATTTTTAAGTTTTATATAGATATAAACAAAAATAAGGTAAAAAAACATATTTTATATTAACAAAAAATGTTTTTTGATAATCATTTTCAAATAAAAAACTGTTTTGGTAGGGCTAAAATTACCGATATTTACCGATATATTATAAATCAATATGGCTGCTGTTCCGGCGAAGTCAAGGTAGGGTAAACTTCGGTGTTATTGTATCATTATTGCTTGTTCGTATAGTGTTCAATTGTACATAAACGCATTTATGTTCCTGTTACGTTGTGCACCTCTAGATGCCTTATCTGTGGTGGATCATATTATCTCCGGCAGAGTCACATTCTGCTCACAATCATTGCTATAATAATAATAATAATAATAATAATAATAATAATAATATTACCTACCACAAGGTTATGTTTTTTTTTTGTGCTGTTCGTTTGTTTGTCTGATTGCATTATTATGCAAAATTTTATGGGGGGATTTTGATGAAATTTTCAAAATAGGTCCCAAATGGACCATGGAAGTATTGATAAGGTTTTGGGCAGTCTCCCTCAAATGCTCAGTACACAGCAATGCTGCGCAACACAGCAATACACTAGAAAAAACGAGTGCAGTCACAAATAAAATCAGGAAACAGTCATTCTCACAATATCGGGTGATATTACAGCAAAATATATTAGTACTAGGTACAGTTAGAATTAATATTATTGACACAAGTTAAAGGGATAATAACTCTTCGTATGAAATCTATATTTCACAATGAAAACATTGTGAATAACTCATAGAAATATAATATATTCTGTTTTACGACGAAAACAGCAGTTATAGCTATTATTCTGATATCTGAGCTTGTCTTCAGATCACTTGACCTCCATTGATGGTTATACTCTGTTATAATCTCTTAAGAGATTTTAACGAAAAACCAAACTTTTTAGAAAAAAACCAGGGACTAACTTTGAATGTAAAAATGGATTCATTAACCATTGGTAAGCATGGGAAAATTGTTGTTTACTCCAGGAAAATTCATTTTTTGGCCAAAACGAAGAGTTATTAAAATATCCGCTTTTTAACATATCTGCACAACTTGTTTATTGCTTGGGTCATCTGCCATGTTGGCAAGTGCCTCTTCTTGGCAATATGGCAGACAACCTGACATAAACAGATCACACTGATTAATCATGTCACCTTGATTAGTTAGAAAACTACATGATTTGATAATCAGGTGCATAAACTTTAAAACCACATAATACGATCTTACTGTGCTATACTAGTCTACCATAATGTAAAAAGGCCCATCAAAATCGGGGACGTCTCGATAGTCCGAAGGTTCATTGGTCCGAAGGTTCATTTGTCCGAAAAGTGGTAACATTTTCATCGATTTTTTAATCAAGGGTTCATTGGTCCTAAGGTTCTATAGTGAATATTCGGACCAATGAACCTTCGGACTATTGTACCTTCAGACTATTGCTACAGCCCCTCAAAATCGGTTAAAGTATTCAAAATGAATGTCATTAAATCCCCATATGATCCCATAGAGTCAATAAAACAGAAAGAGCTTGCGAAACAAAAATACCCTCCACGCGCCTTATAAATTCAAAATAAAATAGAGACAGAGGTCAAATCACACTTTAACTCACTCCACTTACATTAAATGCCTTAGGCTACATTGTTTAATTAAATTTTTTTAAACCCTACTCAGACATCGGTAGAAATCAACAATAAACCCTTATGAAGTCCTCATTGTTTATACTCGAGGTGACAGCTTAGCATGCGATTAATATTCCAGTATTTTCCCTGTTTCAGCCTCAAAATTGCCCAAGGTGCTGTGGTGTGCAATGAATGTGAACTTAAAGGGGATATCACTATAGGTTTGTAGGAGGTGTTATGCTGATGAATTAAATTTTAAAATAGAGTTTGATATCATGACAAGAATAAGGTCATGTGATAACAGTTTGATGTATTACATAACCTGTCTAATGATGCATTTAAAATTGTGGTCTTTGGTCAGATAGATAAAAACAACAACAAACCCTTTATTACCCTTTCACTAAAGATTTGCACTGGGAGCCCTTAATAATGGTTATATTGTATATGTACCTGATAGTTGAGTGTTATCTGCACCTCAATACTGTGACACTGCTTGTCTTTTAGAATATATTATAAAACATCCTCTTTACAGGTGCTAAGACTGTAATTCATCCTAAAGCAAAGATCATAGCAGATGCTGGGCCTATCATTATTGGAGATAACAATTTAATTGAGGAACAGGTTGAGATAATAAACAGGTAAGAAGCTGCTCTAAGTAACCAAGCTCTTAAGAAATGAATAAAAAAAAGTGAAAGAAAAAAGAACTTTATCAAGCAAAGACTTCAAATATCAGCCTTTGAATAATCAATTAAAAAAATTAATATTCACATGAAAACAAGAGAAAATGAGAGAACTGAAACTTAAAGCAAATGAACATAAACAGAATGAGTGTTTTTATTAATTAACTGTAACTGTGCTCTACTTCCAAGATTTTTGCTTCTTAGAATACTGGATGTGAAAGTGTTAACTGATGTCTCATTTTATTTTGATAGGAAAGTCAAGACTGATGGTGAAGGATCGACACACTCCGTAATGATCATTGGGAACAACAATGTTTTTGAAGTTGGAAGTTGTATCCTTTTGGCTGTTGTAGCTTCTTCTTTTATTTTGTAACGTCTTTAGATGGTGTATGATTCACAGCAGGTTATTCCCTCAGTTGGGCAGAAAAATGTGACAATTTAAAAAAATTGTTTTCATATCTGTCAAATTTTACACTTGAATCCTTACTAGAAATTTTTAGAAGTCATGCACATTGTTGTTGGATGTATATGGACTCTGGGGTAGCGCTAGCAATTTTTTTTGCTTTGCCAAATCACCACTTTTTTTTCAATTTGTAATACAAATGGTGATAATTTGACTAAAATTATCCAAATCAAGCCCTTTGTTTAGCCAATTTAAGGATGTAGATAACAGGGGTAGCTATCTTCTAAACCGGCCAAGATATACCGACATGTNCAATAGCCAGAGTATTTTTTAACATGAAACCTTTGCTTGAAAACTGAAAACTGCATAAACAAATGAGTTTGACATTTAAAATAAAAATTCCTACCTTTCCTTGGAGCCTTCTGGGAGAATGCCTGGTGGAATTTCAACAAACAGTTTACCATCCACGTAAACAGTGTCCCAGGTGACCACCATGCAGTCACTCAGAGTGATCCGGAAACACAAATTCGAGGCAACCTGTGTTTTCACCAACGCCTTTGCATCTTCCACAAGATGCTTGGTGGTGACAGGGGGCTCTTTTGAAACCCCCACGCCGCTGCCCTCTGTCATAAATGACACATTGGCGGCGTGGGGAACATCAGGAGCACCACAGAGGCCCTGGACCAAGGTTAATACAATACTGGACCAGGGGGCTCCTGAAATGATACAGCAAATTCAATTTGAAAATCACTAGAAAAATACTTTAACCTATTTATCCTATTTTCTACCATAAATAATGTAATATAGAATAAATTTTTATAAAGAAAATGCAATTGAAGGAATCATAATTAAAAGAAAAAGTAATTTAATGAATCTTGAGTGACTTAAATTGTATTTCCTATAAAGTAATAATAATGATAATAATAATATTAATAATAATTCATTTTTAAAAGTAATTGCCTCATTGCCATATGTTGGAGTTCAGGATGTCAATTATGTATATCAGACACCTTTTATAAACAAGTATAAACAAGTCCAAAGTACACAACACCTTCATAGATAAATATTGACCGTAGATTTCAACTGGTTCAAACTGGTTTACTGTACATCTTCACACATTGTTTTGGGCAATTATTAGGTATAATAATCCAAGGAACCTTTTGCATTTAACAAGGCACCCTTTTGTAACACTCTATTGAATAAACAAAATTTAGCTCTTGATGCGGTGGTATATGTATAACAATAACACTTTTGCAATTTCGATCTTATAACACGGATGTGGGTCACTCAATTCGTTATTATCTAACTAAAATGATATTTATTGGGCAACAGGCATTTTTTCGTAAAATTCAAAAACAATTTCGAGTTTGTAATAAAACACCACGAGCGATTAAAGTCACAGGTTTTATAAATGGAAGTCAGCAGCATATCTACAATAATAATGTAACTTAGGCCGAAATGAAGGCCAAATGTAAAAGAATACTTACGACTGGGCGCTTTGTTTGGTCGGCATTTCTGATTTCACCTCCGTCTTCGGCCCAAAATTTTCAGTACAAAATATTGCCTTAGAGGCGGCTAATAGCATCTTTTCGGATCTCTTTAGAATTGATAAGTTCTGATAACACAAAATAGACGAAAATTGGATAAACTCCAAGACACGTCTTCCTCCTACGAGGACTACTCGATTTATTTACGATGACGTCATAGAACGGAGAAAGGATTGACCTGCAACAACATTTTTAAGTTTTATATAGATATAAACAAAAATAAGGTAAAAAAAACATATTTTATATTGACAAAAAATGTTTTTTGATAATCATTTTAAAATAAAAAACTGTTTTGGTAGGACTAAAATTACCGATATTTACCGATATATTATAAATCAATATGGCTGCTGTTCCGGCGAAGTCAAGGTAGGGTAAACTTCGGTGTTATTGTATCATTATTGCTTGTTCGTACAGTGTTCAATTGTACATAAACGCATTTATGTTCCTGTTACGTTGTGCACCTCTAGATGCCTTATCTGTGGCGGATCATATTATCTCCCGCAGAGTCACATTCTGCTCACAATCATTGCTATAATAATAATAATAATAATAATAATAATAATATTACCTACCACAAGGTTATGTTTTTTTGTGATGTTCGTTTGTTTGTCTGATTGCATTATTATGCAAAATTTTATGGGGGGATTTTGATGAAATTTTCAGAATAGGTCCCAAATGGACCATGGAAGAATTGATAAGGTTTTGGGCAGTCTCCCTCAAATGCTCAGTACACAGCAATACAGCGCAACACAGCATTACACTAGAAAAAACGAATGCAGTCACAAATAAAATCAGGAAACAGTCATTCTCACAATATCGGGTGATATTACAGCAAAATATATTAGTACTAGGTACAGTTAAAATTAATATTATTGACACAAGTTAACATATCGGCACAACTTGTTTATGCTTGGGTCATCCGCCATGTTGGCAAGTGCCTCTTCTTGGCAATATAGCCACGCTCGGCTGTCACCTTGATTGGATAGTAAACGGTTGTCGTAAAATCGCTAAATGATATTAAAACCCGGTGCATAAAGTTGAAAACCACCTAGGACAATCTTAGACTGCCACATTAATCCAATACAATGCAAAAATAAACTATAACAAGTGGTTAAAGCCTTCAAACCGAATGTCGTAAAGTCCCCATATACCTCCATAGAGACAATAAAATATAGTAAGCTTCTGAAACAAGAAAAATCCAGTTCCAACATAATAATCGAAATAAAATACTGCCGGGCATCGGAGCGGCCTAAAACTTGGCACGCTTACCGCTAATACTGCAGGCTACATCATCCCGTCGCTCGTTTGTAAATTCCGTGCATGGCATACGCACAATCAAACCGTATATCCAAATTCCACCTCTGATGTTTGAATTGGTCCTCTCTACAATCCAATTCAGGAAATGACGTAACCGCAGAGGTCGCATTGTCCAATGGCATGGCTTCTTTTTCGTAATGGTAGGTTAGAGAGGACCAATTCAAACATCAGAGGTGGAATTTGGATATACGGTTTGATTGTGCGTATGCCATGCACGGAATTTACAAACGAGCGACGGGATGATGTAGCCTGCAGTATTAGCGGTAAGCGTGCCAAGTTTTAGGCCGCTCCGATGCCCGGCAGTATTTTATTTCGATTATTATGTTGGAACTGGATTTTTCTTGTTTCAGAAGCTTACTATATTTTATTGTCTCTATGGAGGTATATGGGGACTTTACGACATTCGGTTTGAAGGCTTTAACCACTTGTTATAGTTTATTTTTGCATTGTATTGGATTAATGTGGCAGTCTGAGGTTGTCCTAGGTGGTTTTCAACTTTATGCACCGGGTTTTAATATCATTTAGCGATTTTACGACAACCGTTTACTATCCAATCAAGGTGACAGTCGAGCGTGAATATAGCAGATGACCTGACATAATCAGATCACACTAATTAATCATGCTGTCACCTTGATTAGTTAGAAAACTACATGATTTGATAATCCTATGCATAAATTTTAAAACCTCATGATACGATCTTACAGTGCTATACTAGTCTACCATAATGTAAAAAGGCCATACTAGTCTACCATAATGTAAAAAGGCCCATCAAAATTGGTTAAAGTATTCAAAACGAAGTCATTAAATCCCCATATGATCCCAAAGAGTCAATAAAACAGAAAGAGGTTGCGAAACAAAAATACCCTCCATGCGCCTTATAAATTCAAAATAAAATAGAGACAGAGGTCAAATCACACTTTAACTCACTCCACTTACAGTACATTAAATGCCTAAGGCTACATCGTTCGATTTATCTTTTGTAAATCCTACTCGGACATCGTTAGAAATCAACAATAAACCCTTATGAAGTCCTCGTTGTTTATACTCGAGGTGACAGCTGAGTGTGCGATTAATATTCCAGTATTTTCCCTGTTTCAGCCTCAAAATTGCCCAAGGTGCTGTGGTGTGCAATGAATGTGAACTTAAAGGGGATATCACTATAGGTTTGTAGGAGGTGTTATGCTGATGAATTAAATTTTAAAATAGAGTTTGATATCATGACAAGAATAAGGTCATGTGATAACAGTTTGATGTATTACATAACCTGTCTAATGATGCATTTAAAGTTGTGGTCTTTGGTCAGATAGAAAAAAAAAACAACAAACCCTTTATTACCCTTTCGCTAAAGATTTGCACTGGGAGCCCTTAATACTGGTTATATTGTATATGTACCTGATAGTTGAGTGTTATCTGCACCTCAAAACTGTGACACTGCTTGTCTTTTAGAATATATTATAAAACATCCTCTTTACAGGTGCTAAGACTGTAATTCATCCTAAAGCAAAGATCATAGCAGATGCTGGGCCTATCATTATTGGAGATAACAATTTAATTGAGGAACAGGTTGAGATAATTAACAGGTAAGAAGCTGCTCTAAGTAACCAAGCTCTTAAGAAATGGATAAAAAAAAGTTAAAAAAAAAAAGAACTTTATCAAGCAAAGACTTCAAACATCAGCCTTTGAATAATCAATTGAAAAAATTAATATTCACATGAAAACAAGAGAAAATGAGAGAACTGAAACTTAAAGCAAATAAACACAGAATGAGTGTTTTTATTAACTGTAACTGTGCTCTACTTCCAAGATTTTTTCTTCTTAGAATACTGGATGTGAAAGTGTTACTGTGCTAACTGATGTCTCATTTTATTTTGATAGGAAAGTCAAGACTGATGGTGAAGGATCGACACACTCCGTAATGATCATTGGGAACAACAATGTTTTTGAAGTTGGAAGTTGTATCCTTTTGGCTGTTTTAGCTTCTTCTTTTATTTTGTAACATCTTTAGATGGTGTATGATTCACAGCAGGTTATTCCCTCATTTGGACAGAAAAATGTGACAATTAAAAAAAATTGTTTTCATATCTGTCAAATTTTACACTTGAATCCTTACTAGAATTTTTTAGAAGTCATGCACATTGCACGTTGTTAGATGTATATGGACTCTGGGGTAGCACTAGCTTTTTTCGCTTAGCCAAATCACCACTTTTTTTCAATTTGTAATACAACTGGTGATTATTTGACTAAAATTATCCAAATCAAGCCCTTTGTTTAGCCAATTAAAGTCAGTTTTAGCATTTGGCTAAATTGGCGAGTGTTAGCACTACCCCAGGGACTGATTATCTTATTCCTCAAATTCCAAGTGCATTTTGTGCCAGATATACATAAGATAAGAAATTGATTAGCATGTTTGTCTGCACAAGGATTTTTTTTCTTAACTTTGTCCCAGATAGTGAAGCCCTAAACATGGGAGACAACAACATCATAGAATGTAAAGGTATGTTATAAAGGATCCTCAGTGCATTAAATTTTGTATGTAATTTGAAGAAACTTGACTTGTTTTGCCCTTTTTACAACATGATCAGGTCTTAAATATTAGGGAAGTTACATGGGACTGGTATCCAATGTAACAATGTATAATAATTAATCCAGGATGAATAAATTTAAGTAACTGATATCATGATTGAGTATATTAACACCTGCTTGTGAAAATTACAATAATCGTATGTGTAATTTTTGGGAGTTTTCTACTAATGAAAGACACACAAGACACTTAAAAGTGACTCCCCCCCCCTTCCTTATTTTGTTACTTGCATCCTGAATGACTTTTGGGTTTAGAATCTAGTGGTAGATTTTAATGTGTTCTGCTTCTGACAATGTTTACTACAGTATTAGGACAGTTTAACTAAAGTACTAGATTTCCTTTTTTGTTCTGTTTAATGAACTTTTTTTCAGCAGTGCACAGCTCTCTTTATATTATAATACAGCCTCATGGACCAATTTATTTTTTTATAGCTCATATAGGACGTGAGACTACACTTACCAATGGTTGTATTGTTGGTGCAATGTGTCATGTTACAAGTAGAGAGGTGCTGCCTGAGAACACAGTTATGCATGGCTCTAAGTGTGAGAGGAGGGTCCAAGCAGAGAGGCCAGCAGTAAGTGGATTTGGTTTTCAACTGTCAGCTTTTCTGCAGTTTTGGTAGTGTAAATATACCCAATACTCCCAGTGTGCAGTTGTGCCATTTGAGTTATTAATTAGTATTTTCCATATAAAAATAAAGTGGTCTCACTTCTGTGATGAAAAAAAAAATCTTCGCAAAAGAAAGTACTTGGAAAAAACAGTGTGATATGAATATAAATTATATAAATGAAAACCAGTTGTTTTTGTAGGAATTTTAAGATTTTAATAAATTTTTATTTTTTTCACAGCCTCAGACACTCCAGCTAGATTTCCTTACAAAGATTCTTCCAAATTATCACCATCTTAAAAAGTCTAGCAAAGCTCTGCCTAAAGTGAGCTAAAGAAAGGTAAACTGTTATAGATATACCCTTCACATCAATGTTTCTTTAAATGTTAATTTGTATATTATGCAGAACGGATATTTGTTCCATGTTTATGATTCTAAAAAAGCATTAGGGTACCATGCATAAAGATGGCGTAAGCTTTCATTATTAAAAATAATTTTCTCATAAGGATTATATCAGCATTTATCATATCCTTCATATTGCTGTCACTTACCTTTTACTCAACCATGCCCTTAAAAGACAAGCCAGTCACTTAATTATATATTTTATTTTATTGAGAAAGATAGAAAGTATATGTTTCTCTCTCAATAATTCCAGACTATGTTTTGCTGTAAGGAAAAAGAAAGGAAAAATGCAAGGAAGAGGAACTCGGGGGGGGTCTGGAGATGAAGAGTCTTGGCAAGGAAGTTCAGAATATCAGATTTTGATGAAAGTCATGCTGGACAAGTTCTTGGAGTAGACTTTCAGATATATTGCTTTCAATATAAATGTTTTTTTGATCATGCCATTCTTCATTTCCCTAAGGACTTCCATGTCAAAAATTCCATGTCACTTGATATTGAATAAACTCACCAAATTGAGTCTGAACTATGTGTAAGACGTGGTGGGATGTGAGCAGTACCCTTGTATTGTCCACATATCATTTTATTTATGTGACAAATGACGGAGACCTCACTAGCAGAACTGTCCAATTAATTTTTTTTTGTAGAATCAAAGAAAACTTGAGAGGCATTCAAATAATTGTCTTGTTGGTGTATTCTAGTAAATATAAATTTGTATAACTTGTCCTAAGGTCTCAAAGGGTTGTCATTATAACTTCCTGGAAGCACACACTGTGCAAATGTGAGACTTCTTTTGATGCTCTTTATATATAACTAATTATTTGTTTTTGTTTCATTTGTAATTTATTTATTGAGACAATAAATATGACACAGAAATTATATTTTCTTTTTGTCAATTACAACAATACAAATTAACCTNTTTTCTACTAATGAAAGACACACAAGACACTTAAAAGTGACTCCCCCCCCCTTCCTTATTTTGTTACTTGCATCCTGAATGACTTTTGGGTTTAGAATCTAGTGGTAGATTTTAATGTGTTCTGCTTCTGACAATGTTTACTACAGTATTAGGACAGTTTAACTAAAGTACTAGATTTCCTTTTTTGTTCTGTTTAATGAACTTTTTTTCAGCAGTGCACAGCTCTCTTTATATTATAATACAGCCTCATGGACCAATTTATTTTTTTATAGCTCATATAGGACGTGAGACTACACTTACCAATGGTTGTATTGTTGGTGCAATGTGTCATGTTACAAGTAGAGAGGTGCTGCCTGAGAACACAGTTATGCATGGCTCTAAGTGTGAGAGGAGGGTCCAAGCAGAGAGGCCAGCAGTAAGTGGATTTGGTTTTCAACTGTCAGCTTTTCTGCAGTTTTGGTAGTGTAAATATACCCAATACTCCCAGTGTGCAGTTGTGCCATTTGAGTTATTAATTAGTATTTTCCATTTAAAAATAAAGTGGTCTCACTTCTGTGATGAAATAAAAATCTTCGCAAAAGAAAGTACTTGGAAAAAACAGTGTGATATGAATATAAATTATATAAATGAAAACCAGTTGTTTTTGTAGGAATTTTAAGATTTTAATAAATTTTTATTTTTTTCACAGCCTCAGACACTCCAGCTAGATTTCCTTACAAAGATTCTTCCAAATTATCACCATCTTAAAAAGTCTAGCAAAGCTCTGCCTAAAGTGAGCTAAAGAAAGGTAAATTGTTACAAATATATCCCCTTCACTTCAATGTTTCTTTAAATGTTAATTTATATATTATGCAGAACAGATATTTGTTCCATGTTTATGATTCTGAAAAAGCATTAGGGTACCATGCATAAAGATGGCGTAAGCTTTCATTATTAAAAATAATTTTCTCATAAGGATTATATCAGCATTTATCATATCCTTCATATTGCTGTCACTTACCTTTTACTCAACCATGCCCTTAAAAGACAAGCCAGTCACTTAATTATATATTTTATTTTATTGAGAAAGATAGAAAGTATATGTTTCTCTCTCAATAATTTCAGACTATGTTTTGCTGTAAGGAAAAAGAAAGGAAAAATGCAAGGAAGAGGAACTCGGGGTCCGGAGATGAAGAGTCTTGGCAAGGAAGTTCAGAATATCAGATTTTGATGAAAGTCATGCTGGACAAGTTCTTCAATTAGACTTTCAGATTTATTGCTTTCAATATAAATGTTTTTTTGATCATGCCATTCTTCATTTCCCTAAGGACTTCCATGTCAAAAATTCCTTGTCACTTGATATTGAATAAGCTCACCAAATTGAGTCTGAACTATGTGTAAGACGTGGTGGGATGTGAGCAGTACCCTTGTATTGTCCACATATCATTTTATTTATGTGACAAATGACGGAGACCTCACTAGCAGAACTGTCCAATTAATTTTTTTGTAGAATCAAGGAAAACTTGAGAGGCATTCAAATAATTGTCTTGTTGGTGTATTCTAGTAAATATAAATTTGTATAACTTGTCCTAAGGTCTCAAAGGGTTGTCATTATAACTTCCTGGAAGCACACACTGTGCAAATGTGAGACTTCTTTTGATGCTCTTTATATATAACTAATTATTTGGTTTTGTTTCATTTGTAATTTATTTATTGAGACAATAAAAATGCATCTTATGACACAAAAATTATATTTTCTTTTTGTGAATTACAACAATACATGTTAACCTTGCACATGCTTGCTGTCACATGAACCACATTTCACATATTTACCTCAAAGTGCAGTTCAAACCCTGCAATGTGTATCACTCATGTTCTTTTTATGTCATAATGGAGGGGGGTGGTTAAAAGATATGCCCATTTTGTAATAACCAGTTGTTACTGTTACGGTAACCATGTATTAACCACAATGTTTTGGACAGTTTTAACAATCTTTCATTCTTGGATAAAAAACATGCACTAGTGATCTCCCTTTCATACTCCATATCGTATTATATATCATGCGTATTTATATTATATTCTATCATGATTTTGTATACGAAGTCGGAAGTAGTGTTGTGCAGGCAATTTTGTGTCCTGTTGAGCTCCTCTTTCGGTCGAGGTATTCGCAGTGTAAAGTGCTGCTACCTCGCGGGTAAGACATGCACTAAGGGTGGCCGGAAGTAACGTGAGGCCAGTACATGCTAAGGGAACTAACTACATTTCGCTGATAAAAACACTCAGGAACATGTTTATAGATCTCAACAATATACTCGACATTGACGAGAAGCAGCCTCCAGATAGAATAAGTATTTCAATCTCTTCTTCCCAGACTGACAATGGATTTTTGATTCACCATTTCTTGTCCCTGTATATACGGAATGGATATAATGTTTGTATGGTCTCCTTCACGCAGTCTTTCTCTCACTATAACAACGTAGGTCAAAAGCTAGGTGTTAATATAACTGCAGCAAGAGACAACGGTACCTTGATCTTTATTGATGGACTCAAGCTTATAAATGAGTGTTTGTTTGCATCGCCTGGTGATTCTGGTGGGGTTGAGAAAAACCCTTTCTCTTTTGTTTCTGATCCAAAGCCAGATTTGAAAAATTTGTATGACCATATCAAACAAACTATAACATCATTTTCATCGCACAGTACTGTACCAACGCTACTACTGATGGACGATTTGGGAATATTGACTGATCTTGGAGTTCCAGTCTTGGCAGTAGGAGATTTGATGATGTACCTTCGGAACTTCATGACTTCAGCTCAAACTTTGAGAAGTGGCTGTCTAGTCAGTGTGGTACAAGCGGACAAAGATGCTGCAGATGAGGAGCATGAATTGCTGTTAACCCGACTTGCCCACAACAGTGACATGATGCTGCATTGTAAAAGCCTGAATAGCGGTTACTGTAAAGATGTACATGGGGAGGTATTAAAGACATTGCTCAATTTGATCTGGACACTTTAATTGACACATTTATTAATTTTTTTGGGGCAAACCTTATATTGATTGACAACACGTACATCTGGTGCCTAATTTCTAAAACGTTTTAGAGTTAAGGGTGCTAAAATTAAGATAACAATCAGTGTAAAGTCAAATTTTCAATATTAATTTTAACGAGCATTCAAGGAGCAATGGTCCATAGCTGTACCAAATTATTGTATTAGACCCTATGGGAACTAAGATGGAAGTCAAGCATGGTCAAAGACTTATTCCAAATGCCCAGTTGAGTGATTACACCCAACCCCACAATAATCCTCCTTTGTTGATCTTTACAATAAAAAAACTATCATGTGTCAGTTTTAAAAAAATTAGAATTGAGATGGTTTTGCACTGATATTTTGTCTTGCTCTTATCTCATTTCAGCTACTGGTAACATGGCTTGATCCAAAACAGAACTATCCCTTCACATCCAGAGCAAAACGGATGCAGTTCAAAATTATGGACAAAACTGTATCATTTTTTGCAGCTGGGATGTCTTCAGCTGTGCTTTAGAGACCTCGAGCAAGTCAAGAGTTTTCGCATTAAGGTTAACATATGTATTTGACTATTGATTACTATTTTGGTTACTGTTTTGATGACTCAGTTTCGTCAGTAGGCAGAAATATTATCAATACTGAAAGAATAAACTTTAAAAAAATTGATGAAATCAATTTTTGAAGGTGATAGCATTTATGAAGACAGTTTTGTATAAACATTCATATAGCTGTACAACTGTCACCTCAGTTTTAAAGAGTGTCAGTATGATTCTGCCGTTTCCAACACAGTGCAAAACATAAGGCACAGTGTCCAATTATTTTATAAACTTTGGGTTAAAGATTATTGTGTCAAAAAGTGAAGGACATTGTAAATGTTTAATGAAATAAATGGAATGATTACTGTGGAAGTTTTTGTTAATTACTAGAAAATGCTCATTTGTTCTCTATGCACAAAGAAAAAGTACACCTGTTGGTAGGGACAAGCCAGAATCCCAGCTCCAATGGGATGGATTGAGTCCATATTGATATGCCCTTGTAATCGTTGGATCGAAACCAAGGAATTTGATTAGAAAAAATAATTTATTCTAAAATAAAAATAAAGGACATATAATAGAAATAATCATCCTGGCATATATGGCGCCAGTGAATGGAATTTATAAAAAATACATAGCAATAATTAACATATTTTGAAAAAAAATTGGCCTCCGTCAACATTTATATAAGAAATAATACTGTCACTCTGGCAATAAATGCCAGTACAAATCTAGTGTTTGTGAGGTGTTTAAGGCATACATCATGAGACAGCATATTATTTGACATACATACAGAGAGAAAGTACTCGTATCTCACCGATAAACACCCTTAAAGTAAAAACCAAAAATGTATATATTGCCACAGTCACATAACATCTCAAGCTATGTTTGTGCAAACTCTGTGACTGCAACCGATTTATAAAATAACTGTGTGTGCCTTAGGAAGAGTTCAACTTCAGGCACTTGGAAGATTTTTTACAAATTAGGACAATACTGCCACATTTCTCTCAGATTATTTTTCATGACATTTGGCAGCATCAGACTGTCAACATCTTTAGCATTAGATAAACAGTCGTGAACAGTCCAGAAACATTTTTGTTCTAAGGACAAGTAATGGTGATAGGAAGCCACCAGTCCAAGTTCACTCTCAGGTGTGTTTGCACTTATCATAGGGTACAAAGGTTTCTTCACATTGTTCAAGTTTGTGAATGCCATGCCCAGATGTTCACTGTTCTTGTAAAAAGACAGTATACCTGTATATAGATTGAGGTATACCCCAATTACAGTCCCAGAACTGAAGAAAGGATCGCAGTATTTTCTTGACTGTCCATTGTGATGAACGGTTCCTCTGAAGGACAAGCCCCAACTGTTCACGTCTTGACCTGAAAGAAATGGTGAACGATAAGAATGATTTACATCTGAAAACTGATTTATGAACATGGAAAAGTGACTGTGCAAATCTGTTTCGAATAAAATGGCCATGTCTTTGCCATTCCACAAAAAAGTTGAACATCTCAGTTATGCCTGTGACACACATTTTGTGAAACAGTTGCATAATTCTGATTTGCTGGTGATTTTCTGTTTTGTACTACATAATTATAGCAATTTAAAACAATTATGCAAATTTTACTAAGAATATGCAGGTCACAGACATGACTAAAATGTTCATTTTTTTGTGGAATTTTGTTCACTCTCTCATTTTTAACAAAGAGCTGTACCTAACAAGTCCACATATTTGCCGTTGCCCATATGAAGTGTGGCAGAAGCTGTCCCCACCCCAATCATGATGGAGTTCCCACAAGCAGCTTCTAAGAATTTCACCTCCCAGTAATATTCACCCTCAGAAAAACCTTGTGTACCACGGACACCTGAAACATGAGCATATGTTTAGTGAACTAATTCGTTACGGATAAAGCCATCAACAGAGTAATACATTCATTTAAGCAAATTGAACACAATGGGGTCCGATTTTATTGTGAAAAGCTTGCCAAATCTTTTAACAACTACTGGTAGGATGTCACCAATCATAACACATTTTGACAAATTTTTGATCAATTTTCCAGTATTCAATTTTTAGACTGAAGCCAATTTCAATCTGAATTTCTTAAAAACATTTGCATACATACTGGGGTAGAAGGAGAAAATGACAAAAAGTATGGCTAATCCACAAATATGATTTATCTTTCAACAATCTTACTACCTGCCATCCTTACAAATAAAATATGATAGCAGTTTTCACTTTAAGAAAAAATAGATTTCTGATAAATATCACTTTTCTGGCGACCTCTAACATTTCACACCTGCTGTGCCTGTGCTACCCTTAATGGCGTCAATGAAGAAATAGGCCTCGGTGTTATCTGTGGACAGAACAACATCTTCTGATCTGTTGCTAGGATCCCAAGTCCATTTATCTTTGTAAAAATAGTCCTTGAACAACTGAGCATTGCATGGCAATGTTGCTGAAATTTTCAATTAAAATCTTACTGTCTTTCAGTATTTATAAATAAGTATTTATACACATTCATCCCAAAATTTGTATTTTTGCCTTTATAACATACAGTTGTACTGGTATGAAGTTACAGCTTTTGAAATATTTTAAATATGACATATTAATAAAGTCACTATATACCTTTAACAGAAACAATGTTTGCACAAAAAATTCTCACTTCATAGAAGTTCACTTTCTACTTTCATTTAGACTACTTCTTATTTTTATGTGGGGAATTCCATACGTTTCCTTGCGTTTGCATGTACTTTTTGAGCGCGGGAGACGGGGGAGAGAGAGTTGAGAAAACGTCAAATAGATATCATACAAATAAAATTTAAATAAAGGTCTGACTGAATTAAAAAAAACTGAAAATATGATGAACCTTTCTTATTATTCGAACACATAATATCGGTCAGTAATGGATGACCAATGGGTCAATCAAAGGCCAAAGGGGATTAGGATCGATGTACTTTTATGTCAAACGAATTTTGATAGACTTAGATTTTGATTCTATAAGAAATTAACTGTTGACATCTCGAGAAAACAGCTTACCCATTTCCTTTCTTCCCACCAAAAAACCTTCAACCACACGTTTTTGCAATCAACGGCTGCAGTTAGATGTATGCTTGTAATAATTTGTAGAAGTTGAGAGAGCGGCCCACACGTTGTTCTGTTATCATACTGTCACAGGATAACTAGGTAACTGCTGTGCTGCCAGCCAATTCATTGAACATTAAAACATGTTGTTGGATAATTAGGATCTAGGACTAATTTACCTAACATCTAGGATGTCAAATTAAAGTAGAGTGCTTAAATAATGTTTTAAAAATCATATTTTAAGCGATGAATTTTAATTGAAATTAAAAAAAAATATTTATATGAAGTGGAGTGTAAATGGCAAATGTAACAGCCTATGATAACACACCTCTTGTATGCGGTCAATTGATTGGTTGAGAGAATGTGAAGAAGACCTTGACCTATATTCTTTGTTTACATTTAACCTACATGTTACAGCATTTCTCTCGTTGCAGCTGGTTCGAGCCAGTTTACGATACTTGCCTCTACATTTAATGAACATTTATTAAATGCTCTTAAGTACACCGATGTGAATAAAACTAGTTGATGCGAAACGGTGACAGTTTTGAAAGTTGCAGATATAAAACTGATTTTTATGCATTTGACCAAAGAGCAAACATAAGAAAATGATTTTTGTAAACTGGTGCATGTACTGGTGGATATGGTGTTACAGTTTACACATTTAACTTGCTGAAAAGTGAAGAAAATAAATTGCTCAAACGATGTTTATTGGCATGGGCTGTTTCAACGATATATAATTGCAAATTAGAAGGCTAGGGAATTAATTCTTTGTGTGTGTGTGTGTGTGTGTGTGTGTGCTTGAATTTAAAATTAAAATATTTTGAGTTGCAGGATGCCCTGTGTAGTGCACTGTATTCCACATTAACAACAGTTGGACTGAAAGGATTTAAGCTAAACTGTAACACTTGGTATGATAAGTTGTCCTGGGATACATATGTGATATGGCTGTGCATGCTGTCAAAACTGATCTGCATGGGTAATTAATTGCCACGGTGTTATGATTGAAAGAAGAAATTAAGTACATGTAAAGTTCATATTCGGCATGATTCAAAAGTGTAAAGTGTGGCAAACTAGTTCAAAATTCATCTTGACTTTATATCAGGTGCAAGTAAACTCCTATTAGCAGTCATATGTACACTGTATGTTGTAAGCACGATCAACAGCTTTTTTTTTATGAGACAAAAAGTTTATTTTATTCAAACTTTTCACTACTTCAGATAAGTACATGTTAACAGTGACCAATTTTATTTACTTTCTAGCATTTAGTCAAATTGACAACAAACATGACATATACCAGCACCAACTTCTTGAACAAGATGAACAATGACACAAGCATACTAGTAGTCTTTGTTATCTACATTTAAACAAGGTACGTAACACCATTTTGCATTAGATGAATGCTTTTTGCCAACATACCAGGTTTAAAAATTAAGGAAGAGTTCTTAAGGCCTTGTAAGACAACGGTGACTCAACTTGTATCTTAGGCGACAAAGTTCATGATGAATACAATGGGTAGCTTTGGTAATCATTCCTAAATTATAATAAATTATTAAATGTTGTTGATAACAGGAGCCAGTCTGAAACAGAATGATATATAAATATATACAATAATGCAAAGATGAGAACATGCAGTTGTGCTTCTTCATTAATTTATTTCATCAATTACTTCAATTTAAATGTCCATGGAAAACACAAATAGATACAAAGGTATCAAAAACAAAAATTAAAGGCTAAATCAACACATACAAGAATTTTATATCTTACCAATGAAAATTAATTGCCCCATTCAAGTGCTTTAACAAATTCATCCTCTGAAAACTGTAGCATTTTTGCCGCTTCTATGTGCATCTAAAAAGAAAACAAAAAGATATACATTTTTTTGTATTGATCATTGAAAATAAATGGATGTGTAAAAGCAGTTAATAATCATCATTTGTTTTATTTTTCTTTAAGCTACAATTAACTACACACTTCTGATACAGTGTAAACTGTATTTTGCATATAAAATGCATCAGTGGATAATACAGTCTGCTATTTGAAAGCTACCACACCATGACTGTTCTGGGTTTTCTACCAGTAGGAGTAATTTAATTTAACAAATAGGCCAGAGCAAGTGGTCTTGACACCCCCCCCCCCTCCAACCCATAACAATTAAACATGATTATGGGACTGAATACAAATACTTCTTATTCAAACTTACTTTTTGTCTCTTTAGGATATCAATCAGCTTTAACTGCTTCTTGAAACCTGTCATGAGTTCATTTTTCTGCTTCTCTAATCTCTTGTTTTCAGCTAGAAGTTGATCAATCCTTTTCTTTTCAGCATCTTTTGTATCCTGAGGAAATTCAACAGAACCCATTTATTCTTGGAACACCACAGCAACTTGGCACTGTAAGTGCTGTTATAATTGTAACACAAGACGTTTTCATTTCTCTGCACTTGTGCAATCCAGCTAAGGATGTTACTAACCAACTTGATCTGCTGACCATATATATACTCTACTGGTGACCCATGATATCATGGCCCTGGACTCTAACAATATTCTAATACAGAGGAAGACGCACATAACTTGGTTACAGCCCATTCATAGATTCAGTTAATATAATTTAAACTCAGACATAATTTGACTGAAAATACGAAGTGCTAAAATATAGCTTGACCATGAAATCATCACTATGATAATTGCATAAAATTCAACATGTTCAGAAAATCATAAGGAGAACAACAGTTTCAGAAATTACTGGGAACTTGCCTCTGCTGTTCCAAGTGACAGCAGAGGTTTGCCAATAATAGGGGTAACTTTTGAGAAACCTATAAGACCCATGTGGATTATATAAGATATCTGATGCCTTAGGCTATCAAATTTAAAGCCAAAACCTCCCCTTATTACAATCTTCTAAAACAAAACAACACTTTACAGAAAATGTTTTACTTCTTTCAGTACCTTTGATGCAGACTTTGCTCTATGTAATTCAGATTTGTATTTTTCCACCTCTTCTAGTGCCCTATTTAGTCTGACCTCTGTGGCACTCTGTGTTGTAGATTGCTGTTTTTGAGACCGCTTCAGAGAATCTAACTCCTGGAAACATTATGAGAAAATAAATCATAAATTCACATCATATAATTTTAAATATCTTCAACCAACAACAATTGAAGAGTACTATCATGTCTTTATATAAGTGTACATTTATAGTGGATTTACTTCACATAATTTTTTGAATTTGTGCAGGCAACAAAAACCAAAAATTACATTAAATAATTATCAAGCATTGGTTTTGGCAAAGAGCATCCACATATTTTTCTTCCAGATATTTCAGCGAGTCCATATCTGCAAATAATCTGTTACAGTGTACTGTATATCTAGGTTCAGTGTCATCACAACAACAACAACAGCTGATATCAGAGTTCTTAGCACACACATATATCAGTGTCTAGTATGAAATCAATTTTTTTAGGGAATGAAGCAACTGAGTGTTGAAACAGCCGATTAATTTCTTTACTGGTCTGTTACTGTCATATTTACTTTTTGAAATTCCACACCCATCAATCTCATACTGCAGTAAAGAGCAAACCTTTCTTAATCCAGTCAACTGGTTTTCAAGGCTGTCAGATTTCCCCTTAGCATCATCTGCCAACCTCTTGTACTTGTCTATTTGGGTCTGCTGGGTTGAGTTTGTCCTTTGTAACCTGTTTCTATCATCATCTAATTCTTTCACTCTTTGAAGTAAGGCATTGTTTTCTTCTTCCTGAGAATAAATTAAAAGCATGGCCCAATCGGAAAACTCATCCTCATCAGAAATACTTAATTATGTGGATTATGTTAACAATATGCTGAAAATCTAAAAGAGCCTGTTAAGGTTTTTTTTTCTTTCTGTTTAACCAGCATTTTCTTTTCTTTCTTTTTTGAGATCCACATTTGGAAGAATGTGTTGGAAATATGTAATTATAATTTAAACACACACACACTACTGATTAATGGATAATATTTACCTTTTTATTACACTCTTGGGCCAACCTGTCCAACTCTTCTTGCATTACTCGTAACTTAGCCTTCAGAAATCTGATCTGAGCCTCTGACAAAAATATAAAATTTTAAATGACTTTCAAATGAGCAATATCTCAATTGGTATACCAACATGTATCAAAAATATAACAAAACAATTAAGTTATTTAATTAAATATTAACCAGTCTCTAAACATCAGACTGAGTTTATTAAATGTATTTAAAGTTATATTACTGAAAGTTGGTCATAACAATCCCAGATAAACTCACAGCAGTACACTAAAATTAAGTAATCATTGGCAAAAACATTAGCCATTTCTTCCTTTCATAAAACAGATGCTATGTGTCATGTAAATGGACTATTACTGATATATCTTGCAGGGCCGTAGCCTCCGGGGGGGCAGGGGGGGCAGCTGCCCCCCCTGGGATTTGAGGTGCAAAAAAATAATCGCAAAGGTGAATTAAAATAATTGCAAAGTTGGTATCAATTCTGTGAGAAAATGCACTCATGGCCACTGGACAATCATTCAACAATCTCTTTACAAAGGTGTACAGTTTTTAGACAATCTACGAAATGATGTCCAATTGGCATGTTGTGTTGAAAAAATGACTGTACCTATGGCAAAATGAACCCACAATTTATGACTTATGATCGAGCAATAAATAACAGTTAAAATGCACCAGAATGCAGTATTATACATAAAGTTTTTAAAAATTTTCCACACCGTGTTAGGGGGACCCCCCCCACACCCTCCCCCCTCGGGGGCTTTGCCCCCTCGTGTCCACTTACTGCCCCCCCTGGCATTTTGCTCAGGCTACGGCCCTGATCTTGTTTAAAAGTAGACTAAAACTTTGCTATAAGTTAAGACCAACTTTCAATCCTATCCATCGAAACTTTCAATCCTAAATCATGAATCTGGGCCCAGATGCTAGGTAGGGCCTTGGAGGGTACCTGCTCCCATATCAGCAGCAGCCTGAGGCAAGACATCATCATCTTCATCCTCCTCTAACTCTCCCTGCTCCATCTGCCCCTCAATGTTACTGATTGTTTTATGGAGAGAAAACTCCTTGAATTCTGTCAGAAAGGCATCATCCACTGTTGCCACATCCTCATTGAGGTTTGATTTGGTATTTCTAGCCTTAGATCTGTGAAACAAAACAGACGGTTTAAACTTTCTAGGAGGGTAATTTGACATACATGTAATCTAAATCACAAACTAGGAATTGAAACTTTATGAAAAATATGGTTTCTATGGCATCATAACTTATAACAAAACATCACAACAATGTCTAATCTTAGAGACTTATATGCAGCACAAATTTCATTTTGATCTGCATAGACCATATCAAAGGTTCTTTTTTCATACTTATTTCATTTTCAGTGAAGCGTGATGAAAAATGATTCATTTCAAATGCAACTCATAGTTTGTGCTCACTTTGCAGATTTCTTGAGTTTGCTGGATGGCGGCCTACTTCTTGTTGACTGTTCTCCTTGGGCAGACCCTGTCTGTAAAGTTAATTGCAATGCTATTCATTATGTCACTGTAATATCAACCTTAACGATTTGTTGAAAACTAGTATATATATCACACCTCAAAATAGGGTTGAAGTGAAAGATAATAAACATCCAATACATGGTAAATGAACGACAAATAATGTAGCAATATTTGAAAGAGAAAATATAAACAAGGCAACAAAGCAATGGCAGATGCAGATCATCGTTGTATGTAGAGACATTCTGTGTTTGTACTCGAAAAATGATGTGGTGCTGTTTTTTTTTTTTTTTTTTTTACTGTGGAAGTCTTGCATAAAGCAAAGAAAATTTACCCTTGAATTAGTTGCTCTTGCAGATAACTTCTTTTCTTCTTCCTCATAATCACTGAAAAAAGTACATAGATCAAAATATATTGCGTAAGTAAAGAGACTTTAAGACTTTGCAGGCAGCAACATAGTAAAAGTAATTTCATTAAATAAGTGTCAGTAACTATAAAGATTAGAAAAAAGCAACAATCAGTAATTATTCAGTGTTTTTCTAAGACTAAAATAGAAAGTCCATTTCAAATACTTGTGGCAGTCTTCTTTTTTCTACTAAAAAAATTTTTAAAAAAGAGAAAGAGAGAGAAAACAGATGATACATGTAACTCTTTTGATGTCTTTATTTTTCTTTTATTATTTGGTTGCGAGTTTTTTCAGTTAAATAAAAGACTTACTTCAGAAAATCATCGGTATTGATAGTGTCCAACAAGCTTGGTTTGGACAAAAGGCTTTCTTGCTCTTTCTGCAATAAATAGTGGAGATTTTTAAAGTGCCAGTACAATGAATCAATGTAAGTTTCTTTCATGCAATATTTGACTTGTAATCGATATTATCAATTCATATCCATAAATCAAAGGGTATTCATGATATATGAACCACTGGCAATAATTCAAAAATAAAGTAAGATTTAATATACATGTATACTTACAAGTACTTCTTCGGCTTCTTTGACTAGATTTGCAGTTTTTGCTTCCAATTCTTCATTCAACCTCCTAAAATTAAAGGTTAAAATAATAAAAAAGATAACATAAAAGCATGAATTTAATTTATCTATAATTTGTTCTCACCTAGATTATAAACACAACTTTGAATTCATGTTAATAGTAGTAAAAATTAGGTCAATAGTTGCAGTATAATATAATGTGTCATACTCCGTACTTGTATTCTTCCTCTCTACTGAGAAGATCGTTAGTTGTATTCGGTCTGGATATATTATTTCTAACATTGGTTGCAGACTTTCTACCACTTGAGGAAAGTGGTCTTGACATCTATGGGAATGAATGAAAAAAAAAAAAAAAAAAAACAACATTATATAAATACACTAAGAGGAAATATAATTTGATACATGTACATGGTATAGATGAGCCTAAATTATGCAATGCATCGCAGTACTGCACAATACAATTGAAAATACGAGCCCAGTTGCAATTAAGTAGAGGAAACAGTAATTATGTATCACAAAGAACAAAGTTCTTTCAAAACAATTTCATGACCTTGTTAACGTTAATCTTTATTCTATTTGTATATAATGTCGAATTATAACATCAACAACAAAATACATATCTGAATATGTCATTAAATATCATTTTCATGAATTAATAGCTGGCAGTGATATATATATATAATATAAAAAGACTACTGGGAAAATTCTAATTCAATCGGTAAATGAAAAAAATATATTTTGCTAGATTAACAAACGATCTAAAACTAGTAGAGACCATTTTCAAACACCATAGGGTTTGAGATGTATTTAGAATCAGACGATTTTCTTTCTGAAGTGCCTTGTTTGCGAAATATGAGTTCTAATCTCAATTATTTTGACATATATTACCACGTTAGACCGGTTCTGACTCCCGCGATCAGCCATTGTTGTTTAGGCACGCAACGCGCAAGCGCACTTTTACAATCATTAAGGGGTACTAAATTTTAGGGCATATCAGTAAATATTAGTGGTAGTATAAATCTGAAAACTTCATATAATATTCATCAACCAATTTGAATTTCATTTAAAAGTATATTTACACAAGAAATAAAGATATATTGAAATGAAATTGAGTTATTTTCGTGTGTAAATTAACGACATATTATGACCTAATTTGCGCCATCCCAGCTGACTATCAACATGTGCTTTGTTCAGGATGTTTGCTTGAGATTTTTAGCAGATTTTAGAAATACTAGGGATGAGCTCGGAGAAAAATGGCTGTGGATCTAAACACTCAGATATTCAAGTTGTAAAGGACCCAGGTGTAGCTGCATACGATGCGAGATTGGGAAGTGGTGAACAAACAATCGGGATGAGAAATAGCGGGGTTCCAGTTCAGGTGGTTCCTGAAAATGAAAAATCGAGTCCACACAACCATTTAGTAGATGATTTGAGACAGAATGGAGGAACTACGAAACACAAAGAAAATGAAGAGAAGTAAGTATACGATTTGAATACTCTCTCTTTTATTTAAGAAAAGAAATACGGACGTGTTTTTGACTTGACTTTCTGTGAGGTGACGTCACGATCAGCTGTTTTGAAGACTCTTGTTTAAAATTAGGTCATCTAGGCAAGTGGAAACCCTGGACGTTAACTTGACAGATTAATAAGTGTCACCTAACTGGAATAGATTATCTATTCTTACCACACCCCAAGTGGTAGTTACCTCGTCCTAAAATATGCTGGGACCAAAATTATATTGTTTTTTCATCGTGTCATCTGTGTGCATGCATCCTCTTGCATTGAACTGTGGCTGGTCATATGCAATCAACTTATGAAGAGATCCCTTTATTATATACCATAAAGAGTTTGAGCAACTGAACCCCAAAACTTGATAGTTTTTGCTGCTTTTTTTTTGTGCTACGCTGTCTCATGTATTGTCATTGTTTTCATATTTTATCATATTGTTACTAGAGAGAAAGGATACATTAGTCTTCTGGTATCAGTGGCACATGTGAGATACTTGACAAAAGATGTTGATACTGAGAAGCAGTTGTGCTTTTGATGTTGGAGTTCAAAATCATCTGAACAAAGATTGTACCTGCAGATGATACAATAGTAAATGGCGTTTTCCAATCTTTTCAACATGTTTATGTATAATGTGCATAAAATATTAAAGACGATCAATCAATTTATGAAATCGATGCCAAGTCTTCCCAGTTATGTTGATAAGTTCAGAAGGGCTTTTTTGTGTGTCATAATATAATAAAATGTGTTAATGATAAGCATATTATGACATGAATAAGTAGTTGTTTACACTGATAAGATGGGATTTATAAAAGCAAATACGGAATCAACATACCTGCTATCATGTCTAGCAATTTTGTTGGACTTCTGTTTACCATTTGAAGTAATGGTAATTATCTTATAACAGTTATAAATTTCCTTTTTCATATTATTTTGATGGAGAGAAATGGAAAATAACTGAACCTTAAATGAGGCTGTCAGCACTGCATAATGTCATATGAGACTAGAAAACATACAAGAATCCACATGAGATGGGATTAACTTTTTATTGATAAGAATGAAACTATATGTGCCTGGTATGTCATCACAAACAGCAATACATAAGTGACATTCAAACATGCAAAATTAATGCTATTGTGCAATGGACTAAAACTTGAAAGAATTGAAGAGAAAACAACCAGAAAAATATCTGTGAATAAATGCTATCAGATTCTATTCATTGCCACACTATCATACCATACGTCATAGCTGGCCATTATTTTTGGCCTTGCTTTCCTCTTATTCCCAAGAAGATTTGCACAAGTTGCAAAACTTAAGGCTATCTCTGGTGATTCCCACTTTGAAGTGAAAATTTACCTTTTTAAGGATACTGTGCATTTTGCATTGATTCTAAAGCACTGCCATGCCCACTGTGCTTGCCTTTGAGAATTTGATGACTAATTATGAAAATAAGCTGGGGACATTTGGACCAATTAAGGATGCATAAAGCTAACAGTAACTACTGCCTTTTTCTGAATAGGTGTGCAGAAAAGAATATACACTATTCTGGACTTTGTACAGCATGCACAAAAGGTCTTCTGGTAAAAGTTCTTTGTGTTTGTGTCAGGACTCCAGTGCTGAAGACTAGTTTTCTCAGGTCACTAATAAGTGAACAATATCTGGGCAAAAGAACCTTGGGTTGATCATGCCTATATATCAGTTCTAGCCAGTCTTGTTTTTGCTTCATATTTGTTTTAGCCAACTAGTATTTTCTTTCTTTGTGTGTGTTTTGAGTGTTGCATGGTTAAATATTTTTCTTTGGTACAAAGCGTATGGCCATAATAAATTTTATTTTCTATCATATTTGCCTAAAATTGGTTTTGAAAACTTGGACTAAGGTTAACTTGAAAAAACAGCTAAAGAGTTGTACTGCCTAACAAACTGTTTTTAGCTAACTTTATGAATAGGAAAATAATTTTGCAGATTAAGTTGGATTTTTTTTTACCTTACTTAAATAGGCATCTATTCCGTAGCTAATTCAAACAATTGTCTGGCCAAACTTAATCTTTTTTGCTAATGGATAATATATTTTGTATAGAATAATAACTGTTAGTTTTGGCCAAAAAATGAAATTTTCTGGAGTAAACCATAATTTTCCCATACTTACCAATGGTTAATGAATCCATTTCTACATTCATAGTCCTTGGTTTTTTTCTAAAAAGTTTTTTTGTGTGATAATCTCTTACTAGGTAAGAGATTATTACAGAGTATAGCCATCTATGGAGGTCACATGGTCCAATGACAAGCTCAGATATCAGAATAATAGCTATAACTGCCGTTTTTGTGGTAAAACAGAATATATAATATTTCTATGAGTTGTTTTTAATGTTTTTTATTGTGAAATATAGATATCATACGAAGCATTATTATTCTTTTAACCTCATGCTAGAAAATTTGTAGCGCAAAGGGTATCAGATACACAAGAGAAATAAAGAAAGTGGACAAAGAGGACATATTAAACCAGGGATAAGCTTCTGAAGTACTGTTTCATTAATTGCCCTGTATTTGTAGTAAATTAAAAAGAAACATTTTTATGTGAAAGGTTAAACTTAGTGTATTGTACGTTTGTACAGCAAGGCAGTCAGATGCTGCTGCTAAAACAGCCATTGTTGTTTTCTCAAATGTTCAGATGTTTTTCCTTAACTTACACATAAACACTTCATTCATAAATGTGTACTTGTTGACAGCAACTAAAAAAATTCTTTTTAGAAGTTAAATTTTCAAAACATACTGTTTTTTTATCACTACTGAGATGCAAGACACTACAAAAGAGGGTAAATACATCATTAACCTTCAGCAATATGTGATATAATTCTTTGATAATGAATTTACTTCAGTTCAGAAATATAGTGTTAAAAAACACAGGTCTTACTTGACAAAATTTGAGAAATTTATAGAGATTACTTAATGTAATGTTTGATGAGTGATTACTAGTAGCTGAAGAAACCTTTTTTGTTTTATATCATATATGTGAAAACTGATTTCACTGCTATACATCAATCTTTTGATATAAAGGAAAAACTTACTTTTCATTAAATCCACAGTGTTAATATGACAATCCCACCTCTATACCATAAAATCCAGTTTCAGTTTAGGCAATTCAAAACATGAATGGTATTATAAATCTAAACATAATATTCTTGTAGTTTAAACTATATAAGTATATGATGTAGATTTCATAAGGAATGACCTTGTTATTAAACTTGAGGTAAATAATGTAAATAAAATGATATCTGTTGTTGATTTAAAATAGAATGACCTTGTTAAGCTAAAAATATTTTTTTTACAGTAAATAGATGGTATATGTTGTTGATTTAAAAACAGGAAAAGAGGTCAACACTAATTTTATGTTCTGGGAATTTCATGTGTTAACATGTTATGTGTAAAAGTCTGTTAATATCTGTTCTTGGTGAATTTTAGCTTTCCAACAAAAACAGGGGCATCTGTGGCTCTGCCAATGGGTGGAGTTTTAAACACAAAGCAAGAGCTCGGTGATCAACAACCAATGAATGAACCCAATTCAGGATGGCAAGGCTCTGGCGAAGAAACACATGAACACGATAAAGGCATGAAGTGAGTTGTATTCCATAGAACACTTTTCCTTTCAACTTACTGAATCACCACTTTTTCAAAAAAAAAAAAATGTATCTTTCTAGATGTCTGTAGGCTTTAAAATAATGGGATATCACAAATAAGCTTGTACCCGTCTTTCAAATACAATTTCAGTAAGATGTCATTGTTTGTCAGTTTTATGAAATAATTTTTAATAAATCTTAGGAATACTTTTCATAAATATAAATATTTTTCTTAATAATGCTGAAAGATTTATAACCATTATGGAACATGAAGGAGTGATTTGCCAGGTCACTGATCACAGTTGTGCTGTACTTCAATGAATCATGATAGCCATGCTGTGTCCTGTCTCAAAAACTGTTTTTTACGGAGTAATTCATTTGGTTGTTGCAACCTTTTGTGATATTTGACAGGTTGAATAGGCAGCATATATGAGCTTTCCAGTTAAAACTTGACTGTAACAGTTATTGTATGGCACTCCTCTTGTAAATTGCATTTGGTTTTTGTGACTTCATTTGCTAAAGGAAGACTTTTCTAATGATTGATTTCTAAGAACAGGCATGAAACGAAATTGAAGGGTTTGATGTCAAACATGGATGATGATTTGATTTCAGTTGAGTGCAGATTAATGTCTTTGACAATTGTTTTCTTGCAGCAACTCTTTCAGAATACCCATGCAGAAATTAACCATGTTTACATAAGTTTCCTATAGGAAATAACTCGGGGTGCTTACAGTCACTTTTCTTTTCCTTTTATGTTTGTTCTTAAGGTATGAGTTTCACAAAAGTACTTAAGACTGGAATTTTTCTCGTCTTCAAAACTGAAAATTATGGTATACTTCTCTTCAAAATAATCCTTAAGCAGTCCCCTGAAATAAAATAACTATTGATCAAGTCTTTCGTTTTGTAATTTAACTATTTAAGAAGATCACTGTTGGTTTGTCTTGACTGAAAGTGGTCTCAAAATTTTTGCCTGGTCTATAAGTTGAGACCAACTTTCAGTCGTAAGGGGTGTTCAGAATGAGTGAGGTTGACTTGAGGATATTGTAACCCTTTCCCCAAAACTCCTTATTTACTGCCTTACATACATTCTTTTGGGTAATAAATAACATTTACACATATTTCATCATATGGTTGACGTCATAATTGTGATTTTTGGATAAAAAGTGGAAAATCGGTTTCTCAAATTTCTCTTTTACCTGAGCACCCACTATCGTGGTTTGAACAGCGATTTAATGACATCATTAAGTACTCCAAAACTCTGCTAATGATTTTTCTTTACAGTCTTAGTTCAGATTTTGATAAAGCAAAATCATCCCTTTGTTCAATGAAAATCTGTAATTAGGGGCTCATAACTCCATAACAAAAACATTTAAACCAAAATGACGACACAGGATTGTAGCCTATACTCTTCTGGTCAACTCTGCCAATTTTTGTGATAAAATCTTGTTCAGGAATGAAGTAATGCCGCAAACTGATTGCTATCTCACCTCAAATATAAAGGTGTTAAATTGATGATTAAAGCTTTAAGTTGCCTATGCTTATGCATTGCAAGGAAAAATATAAATGCCGATATTTTTTATTTTTGAGGTTTTTTCATTGTTTTAAATTGGCACAAAGATAGATGCATTATTGAACTAGATGGTGTTGACGGGTAGCCATCACATATCCCCGCACTTCCCCATAGAGCAGCTCACCCCTAGGGACCACTTACCACATATGCACGTACACATGCACGTACGCACACACATACACACACATCACTGCTTCATCCAAAGGTATTTAAAAATATAAGTGTAAAAAAATCCACAATGTTAAAAGAATTTAGAATCCACCAACCCCCAGGGACATCCCAACCCCCTGTTGCACTAAAATTCAAAAGTGCCCATGCACATTTCTGAAGATGGGTATACAAAGTTTCAACTTCCTACCTGCAATGGTCTAGGAGAAATAGCAGAAACTACAATGTCATAAGAATTTTGAATCAACTACCCCCCAGGGACAGCCTAACCCCCTGATGCACTAAAATTCCAAAGTGTATATGCACATCCCTGATGATAGATCTTCCAATTCCCATAGTTTCAATTTCCTATCTCTAACGGTCTAGGAAGAGATTCTGAAAATTACAATGTTATAAGAATTTGGAATCAACCACCCCCCAGGGACAGCCCAACCCCCTGTTGCACTAAAATTCCAATGTGCCCATGCACATCCCTAAAGATGGGTCTTCCAATTACCAAAGTTTCAATTTCCTACCTGCAATAGTCTAGGAGGAGATAGTGGAAATTACTAACACACAGACGCATGGACGGGTGGGATAACATGATCCCTGACTTTTGTCCCAAAAGTGCAGGGATAATAAATAGATGCTTGAAAAAACTCATTTTTGGCATTGGATGATAATAAAGGGTTACAATGACCTTAACTGACTAGGTTCCAACTCCAAGGTGACTCTCACCGAATGCAATCAGATTAACAGACTAATACTTCTCCTTGAGCAGCAAAGGGGTTTGTGCGCAAACTGCGCAAAGCTGTCTTCCAGAAGCTACCTGCATTGTAGACTGTGATGGCAAAAGAACAGTATCGGACAACTCCAGGATAAAGATTTACATTTGAACGGAGACTGACTACTTTGTTCTGAACTGTCCCTTAAATTCTTTTCTGGTCATTATTAGCAGGAAAATCTTTTCCAGTGGATCCATCTAGTTTTTCTACCTGAACCTGCTGGTCTTCATTTATGGCAGCGTCAAAACATCTTCATTTATATCTTTGCTTTTTTCCCCAGAAGTCCTGTGTCTGGCTTCCAAAATTCTAGTCGCATAGAGCAGGCTCAAACATTTACGTGGATCAAAAACAATTATGAAGAGGACAAGGACAACTGCCTGGCAAAACATGAAGTTTACAAAGACTATGAGTAAGTGGTTGCTGATTGAAATATCATTATATCTGGTTGGATCATAAGAAATACATACTGAATTAGCATTGGGAAAGTGTAAGTACTTAAGTAGTGTTCATTTTCAAAACTTTCATTTTGCTGCTACTGCCTCAACAAAGATGTAGGAATTTCTTGAGAGCTTTCCTCCTCTGGTGTTATTAGGTTTTTAAAACTTAATTTTTTTGTTGAACACCATCTTAAATTGCCACCACCACCACCACCACTAAAATTTACTTTGGTTTATGCCCCACATACAGTATGAATTGCTAAAGTGTGTGTGATATGACTGCAAAAGTTGATATTACATACAACTTGATAAGTATTGCATGTGAATTGTGTGAGAAATACATCATTTATGGGCATTTTGATTTGATGGTAAACACCCATTATATTTCAGATCCTATTGCACTCAGCATGGCATAAGAGTCCTGGGTGTGGCAGACTTTGGCAAAGTATTCAAGTGTGTGTTTCCAGCAGTCACTTCAAGGCGACTTGGGCCACGGGGACAGTCCATATATCCTTTGTTATTTTGTTTGAAATATTGATAATAAAAAAATTGAAACTTCTTGAAACTGGAAACAATCTAATGTAAAACAAACATGATTAACATTTTGTTTCATACCTATCCCAATACAATGGTCTAATTCAATATGACTGTCTTTAAATGAAAGTAAAGCATAAAAAGCAATAATTTGATATTTAAAATTCATGTTATTGAATCCTTTCATCTTTTACTTCTCACAGGAGACTTTTGAGTGCTGCACAAGGGGCATTTGTTTACATGTTTGTTTGAAGATCTTGTCTATTAGTTTCTCTTTTATTTTCCAATCTGTCTAGTGTGGAAAACTAAATGTCCTGCTTTCAAAACACCCGAAATATGATTCTGCTTATTTTTCATGTTGAAAAGATTAGACCAGGGTTACAAGTTAGAGTTAGAAAAGTTAGAAGAGTTACAAATTACCTTTGTTTATGTTATTGCCTTAATTCTTCTTACATATTACTATAATGGAATCCGGAAAAAGCCATCTGTCCCTACAAATACCAATCCTTGTCATGCAATCAAGAGGGAAAACATCAATGAAGTATGTTTGTTATTTAGAACTTATTTTGATGTCTGGATGTTATGATGGCATTATGCCAAGTAAAACATGGTGTTGTTATGTTTTAAAAGTAGATTGTCATTTGGTTTCATGGAATAATTTATTTCTCCAGTACTTGAAACACCAAACATCTTATACAACTGGCAATTGAGCAATAGTTTACTAATGCTATGTCATCCTCGTTTTTGAAGATTTTTTCCTTCAGTTGAATTGAATAATTAAAAAAAAAACATTCAGAAACACAAGTGATTGTATAAAATGACATCACATTATGTGACACTTTTATATGCTGACACACCTCAGAAGTTCTTTCAGACTGATTACTTTCCCTATTTCAGAATGATCTTGAAGAGGCGTCCAAGCTGGTTGTGTGTGAGTGGGCCCAGAAGCTGCTGGGGCATCCCTTCAGTAGTCTTCGAGAACTGGCAGACTTCCTGGTCAGCAACCTGTATGTGAACAGTCGATCTGCTGCTGCTTTTACCCTCATAGAGTCTATGAACAGTAGTGAAAACAAGACTATAGCAGGTAAGTGATTGGTATCAGGATTTACCGAAACCTAGAGATAGTCTCATTGAGCCATGTGAAATATAAAGACAATTCACACTGGGCATAACTTTAACTAAAGAAATTATGTGTTGCAAAATTTGCATATGAGTTTGATATGGGTTTTTTTTTATTGGTAATGATAAATAAAAAAATGATTTATATCTGCAAACTTTATTAACTTGATCTTTTCTTTCAATGAAAATTGGAATGTGTATAATTTAGAAGAAAACTTATTTACTCCTGTTCTAGGAACCTTGTCACCAAATATAAACAAACACAGAGAAACACAGCTTCAACTTCAAAAGGCTCTCCAGCTGAGACAGCTCAAGAAAAAGCAACAAGAACAACAGACACAGGAGAATGGTGATACACAACAAGAGACAAGCAGCAAGAAGTCCGATAAAAAGGAAAGTCCATCAGTGACTCATGATAATTCAAATGCTGCAGCTCAAACTGTCAGTGAAAATGAAAAGTCAGCAGGAATTTCAAAAAGTAAAGTTAGCTCTTTGTCTGGGAAACTATCACAGAATTCCCTCAAAGTTGCTGGAAAACCAGGAGACAGAGAAACTAAGCATGTCAAGTGTTCTGAAAAAATTGTGCCTCCGGTTGAATCAAGAGAGGAAATTCGTCATAAAAGCACCAGCATGAGTTCACATCCAGAAGGAACGTGTACGACAAAAGACTCTTCTCATAGCAATGCACCACGTTTAATGAACTTGTTACTAGGTGCGCAGGGTTCCAAGCAATCTCAGAAGGGAACTCATGGAGGAATTGTTTCTCGAGCAAAAAATTCAGTGGACTCTGCCAGTCAGGTATCTTCAGAAGGGAAATCTGGTTTGAAGGAAGGAATAAGTGCCTTTACCCCTATATCAGTAAACAGTGGACTCTCCAGCATGCAGCAGCAGGGCACGAGTTCATCAGCCACTGTGAAGGGGAAGCTTCCGAATCCAACAGGGGCAAAAAGTAAGAAGTTGTTGAAAGATTTAGATACAAAGAGAATTGAAATTGCTTCTTCACACCTTTCACAGACATTAGCATTAAAAAATGCAACATCCAGCTGTGATTCTTCTGTTAAAGATATGGCGGCGTCATCAACAGTGCAGTGTGGAACCAACAGTGTAGAGTCTTCTGATAACACGACTTCTACAAAGCCACGATTTTTGCCTATAAAACCAAGAGTGCCTGGCAATAAAACAGTCTCAGACTTGTTAAAGGAACAGAGGGGTTATGGCCCCAAGTCAGATGTAGTGAAAAGTTCTGATCGAAGACCAGTTGCTACTTTGCTGAGGGAAAATCGAGATAAACTCCACCCTGGAAATCAGAAGGTCAAAAAGCTAGAACAGTCCCACAGTGAGACCACAGTAGGACCACAGCCAATGCATGCTTCAGGTCAGAGGTCTTCACTCCGCATGTCAGCCATCTTGAAAAATAGTCAGCTAACTTTAAAGCGAAAGAAAGCCCAGGAAGAGATGGACAATGATAATACAAATGTCAAAAGACTATGTGCCCCTGAAAACTTGCCTAAACCACCAATGAATCAAAATGCCAGTCAATCTGGAAATTTCAAAGGTTTTGATAGTCCATCACAGACAAATTTATCAAGTCATCAGAATTTTAACATTAACATAGCTCAGGGAATTTCCAATCAAAGTCAAACTACAAGCATTCTTTCATCCATAGAGATGGATTCATTGTTAGATGACCCTGAACTAGGGTCTCTTGTCAATGCCAATCAGTTAAAAGAAGCTTTCACCTATATTGTGCAATCCAATTCAGAGTTGCAGGGAGCCAGTGATGGTCCCTATTCAGAAACAAACCTGGAAGATGTGTATCAAAATCAAGATGAGACCGAGGCCAACTATGTCATTCAGTGCAGATCTCAACCAGTTTCTCGAGCCCCGAGCACAGAGTTCAAGGAACCACCAAAGACTCCTCTTGGAAAATTTAGACCAGTTCGAACACCTACAGGGGACTTTCACATGAGATCTCCAGCAGTTTCCCCAACCCCACCATCATTTACGGAGCAAGAGGGCAGATGTGATAGCATCAATAGTCATTCATTAGTTCGTCCCCCAGCCTGCCAGGTCAGGTGCCAGCTTACCACAGCAAGGTGGCACCACAGGTATGCATCCCACAGATGATGCCACATTAATGTCACCGCCCCTGGTTAACAAACCAATCATGTCTCGGAGTAGGAGAAGGTCTGGGAACTTGGTGACAAACACCATGGTTGGCGTGCCCCCTGCAGTACAGGACCAACAGTCCATGGCCTCTCCACCAGCTGTCAAAAGAGTCTCATTTCAACAGCAGACTCAACTACAATATCCAGTTGTCAGTAAAACCCCAGCGGACCAAGCATTCTCAAATTCCCTTGCCCAGATGCTGCAAAATATTCAGCGCCAGAGAAGTGGAGGGTCTCATGCCAAGTTTGACCCTAATCTGCAGAGGCCACTCTACAGCCCTGGCATGTGTCGCTCAGCACCTGTGTCGGCTGTTCCTTCACCAATTACATGGGAACCCAGGGAGAGTGCCCCTTCCACCCCAAGAGACAGCCCCATACCTATGGATAATAATTTGTCCAATCCTGGAAGCCCTTACATTACGCATGGCAACCAGGTGATACAGGTTGTACATCCTGGTTCTAACAGATCCAGTGCCAATAACACTCCAACTTTTGGAATGTCTCAACAGATGGGCTCCCAAGAGGACATCAGCCCACAGAGCATGGTTTTCGATCAGAATAATGGAACTAACACTTTTGTCAGTTATGACAATAATCCAGTGGGAAACATGGCTAAACGGCCACCCAGCTATCAGGTTGCTTTGGCCCACCAGATGGCAGCACATTCCCAGGATCAGCAGCGCAGTCGCCATCATTCTTTTCCTTCATCTCGAGCTAGTATGAGGCCACCTTTCCAAGGCCCGACAGATTTCTCTCGGAACAACATCAACTTCCCTGAAGGCAACATAAGCCAAAGCAATGCCAGTTCACTTCAGCAGCACAAGTTCGCTGCACCAACTGCTCCTTCAAGTTTAATGCTTCGTCAGCGCCACATGTCTGCTGACACAACCATTTCTAGAGGCACAGACTTTATTGAGGTCATTAATGCATCACAAGCTGAAGAAGCTTATGATTCCCCTTTTTCTCCAGAGATGCAAGCCATCATGGACCAGCAGTCAATAAACGAGGAGGCTAACTTGCAGCCCAATGACCCAGGGACTGATTCCAGTCTAATTCAAGCTGTGGAGTCTCTGCTTAATTGCAATACAGACCTGGACAGCCTGCCACAGGAAAGTTCCTTTGACATGACCACAGCAGTGGGCAGTAATGCTAGCAGTGGTGATGGTGAAACTATTAAAAGTTTGCTTCAGGGAAAACTGAATGTCACTGCAAATGGTCAAAGCAATAGGGGTCTCCATTTTGCTCAGCAAACAAATTATCAGGCAAGAAGAAATATTACGGGAATGCTGGAATCAAATTGTGGGTCTTATAATGACAACATCCAGACTGCCCCTGGAAATATTCAAAGGAATTTCAGTTCAACTCTCCCTTACAATGATAACTCCAGTGACCAGTATTCTGATGTTTCACCAGACATGAATTTCTCTTCAGATCAAATTTCCAATGATGGACAGACCAATTGGATGGCAAATGCTGCCGCCAACCCACCTGTCCCAACTCCCCCAAACTCCCAGACAGCCTCTCCAAGCTTCAGTGATAACCTGCTTCTCCTGGCTGGACAGAATCAACAGAAGGTCAACTTCAACTCTCAGTCCAATTTTGCATTTGTTGATGATGGTAACTGCCAGAGTGAAATGAACTATCCCATGTATCAGGGAAATGGAATGCCCAGTTAGAGGTATACTCCCTTTTGTTTGTTATTGCATAAGGCTGGTGAGGCTTTCTGCACTAGAATGTTTGAATAAAAAAGTAGTTTAAATGTGCATGTGTCACCATGTAACATGAGCTTTAAATTAGGCCATATAAATGAAATTGTCATTTATGACTTGGAGCCACAGATTAGTGATGTTAGCAGTCACAAGTCACAAATGGCATTTGTCATTTATGAAACAACAGTGAGAGGGGGAAAGGTGCAACAAAATCTTTTGTTAAGTGCAGAAAGATGGTGTTTTAAATGCCAAAGCCATTAGTATGACCACTATATACAATTATTGACTTATGCCCCATTCAGAATAGGGGACTAACTAGTCTGAGGATCAAATATGGCGACCCACTACAAAGCTTGCCGTCTAATCCGCTAATAGACACTGAATAGATAACCTTTAGAGAAGTATTCAAGTGGTTCGGCTATATTTGACCCTTAAACTAGTTAGTCCCCTGTTCTGAATGGGGCCTTAGTCTGAGGGCACCCCTTGGCTAGGTTCAACTCAAAGCTGGAATAATTGACTGACCCCAGGTCATTCATCCTAGCTGAGGGTTGAACCTGGCCAGATGACTGACTCACAAAGTCTATAACTGCTTTGTTACATGATCATGGATTTTTCAGATATTTAAAATAATTAAGACACAATGAGAACTGTTTTGATGATGAATCTAACTCATGTATTGGTGGTGGTGGATTGAGTTGACTGGGTCAAAAACCTAAAATAATGGACCTCACTTGACTGCCTCTCAACCAGTTGTCCATCTGTGGTTAACCTTCATAACAATGTCATTAAACATCATGACATGCCATGATTATAGGCAATATATGAATTATCAAATTTTTATTTAGACCTATAATTATTGTTTAGATATGAATCTAGAAAAGTTATATTTGTATTATAATGAGAAAGTTCGAAACCCTTCGATTTTAGATATCTTAACATATATTTGAACTAAGCTGATTTATGGTTCAAAAACTTAAAAACTTGATGCCATGTTCATTTTGTTGATATAACAGAGCAAACTTATGGAGCACAGTGTTATGGTTTATTATTTGAAGTCTTAAAAAGAAATATATGTTTGTGGTAATGAGAAGATGAGATAAAAACAACATGAAGAAAATAAGCATTTTTATATGAAAGCTCTCATATTTCAATGAAAAACTTTCTTTTCATGGCTTTACAGGAAACTGCCTTTTTGTTCATTTACTGGTTCAGTAATGAATACTGAGTCAAGTAGATTGGGAAAGGTCAGTCTTTTTTAGCAAATTCAATGTAATCTTGGGAGTTTTTTTCACTGAGTGTGATTAATTCAGTATTATATGGTATTAAAACTGTTTATCCACAGCAGTAAAGCTACTGTTGTTCAATTTATTGCTGGGTAAAGATAGTGGATGTTACTTGTAATTATGTAATCATATGTATAGCAGATATTCTTTTTAGTTGTATCAGAAGTTTTAGTTTTAACATGTAGTGTTACATATTAAAACCACTATAGTGCTTTTTGTAAACAATTTATGGTTTTATTAAATACAGAATAATGTATGTAGATAAATATTAATTGATGATATTTAAAACAAGTGTGGAGATAAGTGAACGGAGATGAGATAAATATCCATAATAGATATGGAATAATAGTTCAGAATGTGGGCATTTTGATTTAAGTCACATTTTATTATATCAGTGCTATTTTAGAGTTTAGATTTATATCAGTAATTTTTAAGGATTTGACAAGCCCTTTGTACAGCTCATTTGAGGATTATGAGGATGCATCTTGCTCTTTTAATTCCATTTGGATTCTTTTGAATTTTAAAACAAGCTGGTGTCTGAATCACTAGGATGCATTTAAGCAAAATTATATAAATATCTGTGATATTTGAATTATTTGGGGAAAAAAATGGTTTGACAAAATTTAATTGAACAAAAATATAAAGCATATTAAAGCTAGATCTGTATTAAGTTTTAAAGCCAGTACAGATAAACTGAAGGTTGATTTGTTCTGCCTGTTTACTAGACTGATAGATAAAAATTTGCCTGTTAGTACATAAAGAATGAAACCAAAGCAAATGGGATTGATAATTAGTGATAAGTCTGCAGTCTGCAATATTAGACACTGGTCTGAAGCAATATCAGTAGATTTAAAGTTAGAAAAGCTAACAAAAATTGATTTTTATGTACAGACACAGATGTGTCTGTACATATTGCCATCACCTGCGTCTGTCGTCGCCGATGCCGATGCCGATGCCGGCGCCGTGCACTTTCCTTGTTAACACAACAAGTGGACGGCAGTTTTACTTTTTGGTTTTATATTTACAGAGCTGATGAATATTCATAAAATGCAGGTCAAGTTCGAAAATCAGCATGATCGGGCCATTATGGTAGAAGTTATGCTGTTTTTTCACTTTTCAGCATATATGCAACACTGTTAACACATTTTAAGGAAAACCGTTAGGCCTGTTGTCATGAAACTAACAGGAGTAATCAATCTTACAAANTTCAAAGTTGATAGTTCAGTTAAACTGATTTTTCTGTATCCTGTATTTGGACAAGTAGGTTTTGATTCAGTTTTCACTTCTCTAAGTGAACAATGGCAAGTCAAGACTGTTTTATTTTTCTTCTTAAGATGCATTGCTTAAAGAATGAGACAAGGTTATTATGTATATTAATGTGAATATATATTTTAGCATTAACATGCACTGTAAAGATTTTGAATGTGGGTTGAAAGGACCAGGAGCTGGCTCCTGGTATCGTATTTTTATCAGATTGCAGAATTTTTATTGGAGAAATGCAGTTTGTGACAGGTTTTCCTCAAAGATGAACTTGATTGCATTTGGAATGTCACTGTTGTCTAAATGTGAATGGTATGTGCTTAGTCATTTAGTCCTTTTACACAGGTTGAAGGATTCCCATTGTAAAAGCCTATTTACGTACCCTAAAATGGCAGATTTTTTAAAAATGATTATATACAGTGCATGATAATATTTTTGCTTTGATATGCATTTAGTGAAGTAACTCTGTAGTTGAGGTATTATATTCTATTGAATTAGAAATGTGGTAGTTGCTTGTTATTTATGTTTACAGTTGCATTGTGTATACAGTTTTTGAAAAGAAGTCCTTTCATTTGTCAATGTTGTGAAGAGCAATTAACTGAGCCCTAACTGGTTTAGCATGTGATAGTCCTTGAAAAGGGGAGGGGGGAGAGGTCTCTGTTATGTCTAAATTTTGATTCTTTTTCAAATTTGATTTTACTGGGACCCCGGGGAACTCTCACACAGAGTTGGTATTTTGATTAAGGGCAGTGTAAGAACAGATGAAAATTCACCCCTATATATTCATCATACCAAATCTTTTGCTTTACAGGTTTATCATTTAAACCCCCTCCTCCTCTCTATAAAAAAATAGGAGTGTGCTTAACCTAAATGTGTTCCTTTTAAGTTGCGAGTTTCAACACCATTTTATCCTTGAGGTTGTGTATTCTGCTTTCCCAAAACTGCCCACCACCCACACCTAACCCCCTACAGGGTTAAATTAAGGTGTATTCAAGGCAGACATGATAAAGGCCCTTAATTCCTTTTTTGCATGCAGATGTTTGCTTTCCTCCTGTTATGCCCTTCTCTTAAGTTAAAAAGATTGCTAGAAGTACCAGGCATGCTGAGGGAGAAGGTTGGTTTACAGCAATATCTGAAGCTGTTGGTGCCAGTGTTCTTTTATATGGAAATCCATTGTCAACAGATATTATTGTTGATGAATTATCTAAGCTAAAAGATCTGGTACGAAAGATACATTGCTGTTTTGGTTGACGCTTTCGAATTTTTATATTGTTAAGTGTTCAATTCATTATATTTGTCAGTTATTATAAGGGGTTTTCTAGTATTCAGGACCCATGTATAATCAAACTGATTCTCTATTAAGTTATCTTTTCCAGCTTAGATTGATGTAAATTTATCAGGATTCAGTAGATGTAAACTAATTTGCAAACCTGAAAAAATAGAAGGGATTTAACCCTAAAACAGTAATTAAATACAACTGGAACCATTGGCAACTGATATTACTTGACAGTTTGTTAACTATTACCATATCACAATAAAGTCAATAGAAACTAGTTTCAAGTTTTCCTTATTTGTAACATCTTGCATGAGGATTAAATTCCTATTTTTTGATCAAGTATTTTATAGATGTCTGAAAAACAAAAGATGCATACAAAGTCAATTTTTTGCCACAAAAGCCAACTAAATGCCAGCATATAGTTTCAAAAAGTATAACTAAGAGAGTTACCAAAAGGCATTGTATAATTTTACCTGAAAATGTTTGAATGGATTTTTCTGCTAACATTCTATGCTGTATGTCAATGGGCAGAAAAGTAGGTCACGAAAGTAAGTTAAATTTTGGACCAAAATTTTAAAGAAAGGAACAGTCTAAAGCTCTTTTTGGCTGATCGAGTGATCTATTCAGTTTATCCCTTCGCATGTCAAATATATTTGACTCATATAAGAAACTAGTAAAAGTGGTTTATATGTGTTAATGGGAATCCACACTCCACCGATGCTCGGTTTGTATGTACCTTTAAAAGATGAAAAGTTGGTGAAAGTAAGACTTGAAAATGTGCCAATGTATAACAGTTTTAATAAACTTTAACATGTGTACAATCCCTCTATCTTATATACAAAAATGTGTTAGTAAAATATACACTCGGGTGTTTTTAACAAATGTGTTGTTAAAAATACAGTTTAAATGCTTGTAAAAATATAATTGAAGAATTCTCATTGAATACATTAGTTGATCTAAGAGTTTCCAGCCCAGCAGTAACCCCTCCCAATTAACTGCACTTAATCTGCACAGGAACTTGAGGAAGCTTTAAACTAGCTCTTTGCAAAATGAACACATGGTCACAGTGTTGAAGGAAGTAACACTGCTCAAACACCTTGAACCTAAGAGCATAAATGTATACCCATCCCAGCACTTAAATTTGATGTTTTGTTGTATTACCTTAGTAAGCAGACATGAGTCTAGGTTAAAAAACAAATTCTGAACATTTTTCTGCGGAAAAAGCTCATGTTTGAGTAAATAAATCATCTTTCGCAGAGATGGCCATCTGTCTTCCTGACATTTCAGCAGGAAATTTCAACATCAGGTACTTTTCTTAGCTAAAAGTTGGGCTTGACAAAATTAATAATTTTACTTCGCTTTCTCCTATCAACTAATTATATAACTGCATTACCCACCATGAAATTGCATTGTGAATCCACTGGTGAGGTTATAGCTTAATTTTGCACAATTACTGCTTCATTCCTGGAATATACTTCAGCTTGGTCCCATTATGTATAAGTAAAAAGGGGAGGATTATGCATGATTTAGCACAGAACCATTTCAGTCGTAATCTATTTTAAGTAGTCCCTTCAATTGTGCGCTTAAAAAATTTCAAAAACTTAGGTCCCAATTAAGTGTACACTTTTTTTCTTCTTGTCGGCTACCATGAATTCCTTCATGAAGTTCATCACGTGTAGCAAGTTAACTGCATGTGATCCACTGACTACAAGAATTATATAAAGCTAATTCCTTCAGATGAAGACAACAGTTCATTTTCTGTTGACTGCCATGAACTCTTTCATGAATTCCACCAAATGTAGAGTCTCCTCAACAGTCACTGCGTTATACAGAGAGATGCGGATTCCGCCAACTGACCTGTGAAAAAAATGATATATATTTACACACAAGCCTAGGTTAAAAAAAAAAAAAAACATTTATCATGGGATCCAACACCTAACCTTGACAAATCTCAGGAACCATCAGAATTAAATTAAAAAACAAGGAATTCCACTTTTCTGCGGAAAAGCTAATGCCCGTACATTTAAAAAAAATAAAAATTACGGGTATTACTCGAACAATTTAACCATGACTGAATCACCTTACATCTTCTCTAACAGAGGCACATTTTTTCAATATAAATCTTTTTTTTTTCACTATAAGGCCACACTTTTTTAATTTTANAAAAAATGAAAAAAGTGTGGCCTAAGAGTAGTCTTAAAATGTCCGGTCAGCTGATCATTTAGTTTCCTAAGTAACTAGTCAAAACATTAAAACTATACATGATTTTAAAAAAATAATCTACACTAACAAAAAAACTTGGGTGACTAACACCACATCATATTTACCTGTGGCCCTTTAATGAGATCATGCCACATTTCTGGGTTTCCTCAATAAATTTCTTTTCTAATTCTGGAACACCTTCAGGGCCTCCAATCCTAAGTGGAATATTCATTCTGCTTCGAGCATTTGGAGCAACAAGGCAGCTGAAGTTAAGAAACCCAATGCAATAACATACATTTTAAAAAATGACTCGTTCCAGTCAAGTTATTTACTCCTACTCACAAATCATTGATCAATCTGTCCCTTTACTTGGATTTGATGTGCTTTTTAAGTTTAGGGGTTTTATTTTTTTTAAAGGTTTTTATTGGAAAAGATTACATGATAGCTGCAAGATATGTAGACACAGAAAATATGACTTTAAGAAATTTTCAAACCCATACAATATACCTTTAATACTATAAATAATACATACTGATAAAATCCATCTGAAGAGTCCAACAAGTCATAAACAGCTCTGGCTTTGATAAGACTTCTCTCATACATGGCCTCTAAACCTCCCTCTTCTTTTATCCAGTTTAGAACAAGACCCATGATATAAATGCTGAAAAATATGGTGATAAATAATTTCATTAAATAAAAGTAATATGAAATGAATTCTCAAAAAACTTTCCATTCATCTTGTGACAAATTACATTCTATTGATACACGTCAAATTTTCCTCCTGATTAGTTTGACTCATTCAAAATTTTTCCCTCAATAAATGAACTTTTATGCAATATTGTCAAATTTTGCTGACATCAAAATATTGACATCTAGTTTACCTGTAGGTGGGAGGAGTGTTATAAAGTGAATTCATGCCAACTTGAACTTTGTAGTCAAAGATAATGGGGCATTCAGGAAGGGTGTATCCCAGCAAATCTTCACGAATTATCACAACTGTAACCCCAGCACAACCAATGTTTTTCTGGGCTCCAGCAATAACAACACCATACTGTAAATATATAATACCAGTGATAAAAACACCATTCTACAATAACACAGTACCAGCAAAAATGCCACAATACTCTAAATATACAATGCCAGCAATGACACAAATACGACAAACAAGCAACACAATACTGCAAAAATAAAAAATGGTTCCGATGGAACAACGTCACTCTGCAAATACAATTACTTACCTTTTTTATATCAAATGGTCTTGAGAGAAAATTTGAAGACATATCACAGACCAGTGGCACTCCATTCGTCTCAGGAACGTGGTCATATTCCACACCTACAAGTTGTAATGCAATCTATTTCAGTCTTCTTACAACAGTATTTCATCAAGTATTACTAGCATACATGTTTATTTCAATGAGACAGCACATTCAGGCATCATCTTGCACTCAAACGTTGAGGGTTTTCTTTAAATTTTAATACTCGTGTGAGATTTCAAAGTGGCAATAGGGAATTAACTTGCAATCTTTTTGATCACGTACTTACCATGAACAGTTTCATTATCACAATAGTAAACATAGGACGCTTCTGGATGAAAATTCCATGTGCTTTTACACGGTATTCCTAATGAATAGAAGTGCACTTTAAGTGTAATGTAAAACTACTTTGCACTCAAATACAACACTCAATTACAACTTAACTAAAGGGGACAAAAATATTTATGGAGTTAAGAATTTACTGGAAGATACATGTTTGAGAAAAATTATGAATTGCCATTCCTGGTTTTCCATGCTAAAATTTCAAAAAATAAGAATCAATTTTTAGCAAAATTGTTATGTAATTGGGTTACCTGTATACTTCTTTGTTTCAGGTAGCACCAAGTTAACCTTTCCATATTTCTCAGCCTCTTTTGCAGCTTTTGATGACCAGGCCCCCGTAATTTTGTAATCTGCCACACGTGCTGGCTTCAAATTCATAAGATTGAGAGGAATTGCAGCAAACTGTCCTGAGCCACCTCCTTGTAAGAAAAGGACCTTGTAGTTGTCAGGAATATTTCTAAAATATAAAAAAATATATATTTCTTTTTACCAAAACATTTTTAATGTATCTAAAAGATTGTAAAATATCACAAGTCTGAATAAACAGGCTAAGGCCACTGTTTCTCAAAGAACCTTAAATCCATAGTTGGCTAGCTAGAGCTAAGTTGACCAAGCTGTAGCCGTCTACTAGGAATGTTTCATAAAGAATCTTATTAAATCCTAACTTGGTTTGCTTAAATGGTAGCTGACATGTTTAACAAACTCTTCAAGAAAGGTGGTGGAAAAATCCCTGAAATTTCACAAGACATAACGGTTCATGAGGTCTTTTGCCACATAATTGTATATCAACAATAAAATCTTATTACACAATATCTTCAAGAAGACGTACTTTCCAAATTTTTTGATGATTATCCTTATTTACAGAGTTTTAGTTGAGCTTTGCTGACTAACTTTCACTAAATGCAGCACCTGAGGCTAAGCTTGGTCAACTAGCTGTTAAGCAAGACTAGACAGCAAAGCTGACAAATATACAGACACAATACAGGAAACAAGGCAGCAAAGCTGACAAATGTTCAGACATTAAGATGCAGAAAAGAGTGCACCAAATAATGTTCTGGCCAATTTTGATGCACTATCACATAATGCAGCACAATCATTCTGACCCTCTTATATTATATATTACAGGCAACATGGATATTAAAAAACTAGCAAGTAATTCAGTTTCATGGGATATGAAAGCCACTGATAATGCTAATGTGTGGGAAAAAAAAAAAGAATTACTGTAAATGTAAACCAATCATGCCAATTTTCAAAAACAACCCACCTCTTTACAAAAAAAAAAAAATAAAAAAAAAAAATAATAATAATAATAATAATAATAAATAATAATAATAAATAAAATAAAATAATAAACTAATAATAATTACTGTAAATGTAAACCAATCATGCCGATTTTCAAACGCAGTTTTGGGGCGAACATCAACTAAATTGTGCAAAAAAATATATAATTACCATACATATAAACCGATCATGCAGATTTTTGAAAGCAACCCACTTCTTTGCCAAACAAAGCCAGTCAGTATATTTAAAGTAAAACAAAAATACAGTTTGGCAGTTATGTGGCGAATGTCACATGTCAGACAGTGATGGCAGCGACACAGACAGACAGACCTATCAGAATATATATACAGACACTTAGAGTGTCTGTATATAAAAAGGAAGTAATCAGCCTTTTAGATTCTTCATAAAATACAACTTAAATCAAGCTCAAACTTAGAAGTATTGAGAACCGAGTTCTTAACAGGGCACTTGGACAAGTTTTTTTTGTGAAATGGGAGCCAGGTATGAGCTTAAACTTCATTCTCCCATTTCATACTTTTCTCACTCAATAGGAAAATTTATGGAATCTGTAAAATCTCCAAGTATGCCATCTTTGTATACTTTAGATATAAACATATACAAAATATGTTTTTTTATAGGGATCGATGTTTGTCTTTTTTCATTTCTGCTTATTTCTTTTGTCCCTCTTACATACGATTTATACTTACAAAAGATCACGCAAATCTGCTTCAGCTGTGCTCATAATTTTTGAAAACTCTGCTGACCTGTGGCTCATTTCTGCAAAAAATAACATTTAGCATTTTTTTCAAAAAACACCAGCAGACAAAAGAGCATCTAAAGATGTACAACTGGAATGAGGTGATGTATAAGTACATGTATGTCAAATGTTATCTCTTCTTTTATTTCATGTCTCACGTGAGCCCTCTGATGAATTAGACAAAAGCATTTTTGGGCTAGGAAAAATACCAAAGATTTCATCAGCTTCACTGTTGGCTGATCCAGCTGATGCAACCACCTCATGTGGTATTAATTTCCATAAAAAACTGCACCTCTTTTCTCGATATCCCGGATCTGCATGAGATAGAAGTCTCATATGGCTTAAAGCACTGTATAATAATTGGTAAGATGGTGCATTTCAGTAAACAAACATACCCATCACACTGAGCCCCGTATTGTCATAGTTCAACATCTCCTTGGAAGCTTGCTGTAAAACCTGAAATAAGTGCATAGTTTTAGAGAAAAAAGTAAAATGTTTAATTTGAATGTTCTTAATACAATTATCTTCAGAAACAATCATGTATATCTAAGGTGTACTTGGTTTACCTGAACTTAATGTATTTAGTGAATTACTTTTCATTCTCCATTAAAAACGCCTGTGTACACGTAGGCGTGTCAACCCAAACATGCAAAATGTACTCGAGTATTACTGGTTCTCTATAAAGCAACTATACTAGTAGTTTTCGTTCCTTTTTCTTTATACTGTTAATTTGAAAATAGAATGACAGATGGATATCTGCAAAATTATAACTTATCGGTTAAATTTTTTTCACATTTAAAGCATATTCACCGATCACCTGTGCGACATCGACCAGCTTATTGCACACTCACCTTCTCAGGTAACTTGGCAGGTCCTGGGGAAAAGTTAATAACTCTGCGTGGAACAGACATGATAATGCAATTACTGCAACAAAATTTGCAAAACAGGATCGGAATATCTTAATGTTCGTTTTCGCTCTGAGCGGTGAGGGAAAAGACAAATTGTGCCGATCATTCATTCCTCTTATATATAAGCCGCGAGAACGTGGATATGTTTACCTTCACTCTGATTGGACAGCTTTAAAGATAGTACCATTTGATTGGGCAATTTTCCACGCACGTGAACTAAACATGCAAACGTGGTGGGGGGAAATAACAATTCTGCTGATGCAACTTTAGCAGGTCTTTGTTTTTTGTTAAAAATGAGAAACTTAAAACTTTTTACAGTATCACTTTATTGTATAACAATTGAAGTTGTTAGGGGGATGAAACGCATGTTTATCATTGTCTAGGCCTTGTTAACCCATTAATCACGTTAGCTAGGTCACTAAAATGTCAAGGTCAAAAAATTGGAAAAACTTTCCAGTGTAAATGAGAAAATAATAAACCAACGTCATATATTTTATGCTGTTCTTTTTGCAATCTTGAGATGCATCCTGTACCTCCGATATCAAATTCATAACAGTCACTGCACCTGACCTAACCTGACTTGACACAGCTTGGTACTATTTTCCACGGAATCACGGAGATCCCTCCGCACTCCTGGAAAAGAGAAAATATTGCTCCAAAGCTGCGACTAGAACATCCCCACAAGCATCGCTTTAAAGGTTTGTTGGAAAAATAAGGCTCCAGTTAAGTTATTGCATTATATTAATAATATCTTAGGGCATGTTACAGTGCACTCATGTTGTTTTTTGTGTTAGCTGTGAAAAAATGTCGGTGTCACAAATTCTGTAAAAGCTAAATTTTATGTTCCAAATATAGCTGGCGAGTGCTAAGTGGAAAGTTGAATACCTGCTCATGTATTATGTGCCTTGACAGTGAGAATTTGATAAAAAAAAAAAAGTCACTGGCCCAAGCAATCTTATCGTGCGACAATGTGTGATGAATATTCATATATTATAAAATGTTACTCAGCCAATAAGCACCAGTGTCTGGGCAAATTTCTGACACCCACATGTCAGCTTGCGAAGTAGATTGCACTGCATACAAGTTGCCCCATTTAAACCCGTGCCGGTTATATTAGTAGGAAACCTCGTGTTCACTGCAATGGATCCGACAACCAATTCAGATCAGGTCCGTCAGGTGAGATAATAAAATTGCTAGTATTCATGAACATGTAATATCATCATGAAATGTTCGTTTAATTTTGTGTAATTTTAGATATGAAAACATTTCGGAATAAAATACTTGTACCTCTCTGTCATCATTGGTCAAAGGGTGGAGGAAGTGCACTGCCCACATGGGTTACTCACACTAGGAAATATTACCGGTAATTGGGGACTGATAATTGAAGTTGGCTTTTAGATAATGTTATATTTAGATTTGTAACTTTGATAGGAATTGAATCACATGCCACCTGCATACCATATTTGGTGAAAGTGATGACCTGTAGGAAGACGAAGACCCCTGCCCTTTTCAAATGCCTGTTAAATATAGGTGCCTGTCTTGTGACTTGAATGACACATTAATTGTAGAACATATCATTCAGGCATTCTACTGAGGCTGACTAGGTAGCAGTTATATGTATATATATATATACTTTTATGAGTTCTTAGGTTCTTTATTGTTAATACATCTGCAATACAGTGTAGTTCATCTAATTGAAGAACTTGGATATCACAGACTTTAAACCTAGAACAGTAAGTTTAGGTACATATGATATTATGAACTTTAAAATTACTTTGGAACACTCAATCATTTGCTTTCACTGTTATTCGGTATATATTGAAAGAAAGGTTATGCAACCATATCTTACAATGTATAAATGCCACAGTTGAGTGTAGCTACATGTACAATAAGCATGTACCAAATATAATGATACTTCTTTTATTTATTTGTTTTTGTTTTATAAATATGCCATGGGTACCTACTCTGTATGTGACATTACATGTATGCGTAGCTCTATGATATAGTGACAAAAAAATAGAGAGAATCCAAGTGTGTTTTATATTTATACAGTCACATGTCCTCTTCTTTACTGCAATATCTCAGGTAGAATGATACCATAAACTCTGAAGCCATGCATTAAATAGGTCAGTGGAGTCACGTGTAATGTTAGTGTTCATGATTTATTCCACTATAAAAACTGGATATACCATAGCCCTTGTACCATGGCTGATGTCGAGAACAAAAGATATCTCACATTTAAAACATGCCACGCATGTGTATGTGAGTTGCTGCATGTCTGGGTTTATTGTTCACAATATGTGTCATAGTATAAATAAGATATTCTACTTGTCAAGTGGCACCCAGATATATTTTACACTCATATGTATTACATATACTTCACTGACTTGTACTGTATCTATACTGTTAACCCTCAAGTGCAATACAAATAGATGATTTAAAATTCATTTTAATGTATCATATATAATTTTTTTATATTGATAGACCTTGATAGAGTCGACCTTGGGTATCTTTAAAGCCAAACATAATAAATAATTGTAATACACTGTTCACATGCTTTGACATCTTTGCCAAGTTTTATTAAAATTACAGTCCAAACATAGATGTTAACTTGGTAGTATCTTTCTTGGTACATAAGTTAAATTATTATGGTATTATTATTAGCATCATCATCTATTATTTTATTTCAGATGGCAAGCAAAGCTGATCCAACTTTGGTATGTACTAATAAATCAACTTATGTAATTATTCCATTAATTTGTTTTTGGAAAATTATTTTCATTATATAAAAAAATTTGAAAATAGTTATGATATTGAAAATGTAGGTTTTAGTATGTATCTTGATGTATTTTAGTTATGAATGACAATGACATGGTAGGGAATTCTTATGCCACAGTAGTCTGACTGCATGTCTTTGAATGAAGTGATAAAGAAAAATCATTCCAAATTGAATTGATGTTTAACAGAAGGATAAGCATATATTGCTGTGGAGAACAACAGAGAATGAGATAAAAACAGTTTTTACACTAAATCACAGTATGTGTCAGATTATTATTATTATTATTATAATTATCTTTTTTTATAATGACAATTTGTTTTTTAAAAGTTTTGAAATCATTTGGCCACAACTTTGCCTCTCTTTTGAGTTTGAGAGAGTAAAAGGTATAATATTATTTTGAATGTGAAGAGGTGTTACAGGGAAAATACTGCTATAATGTCCCTGAACTCTGTTTTATATTTAGCACAACTTCCCCACAGACTGTGGTTTCCTATATACAACCAGTTATGTTGCTGGGATATTTCCAGGAAGATGTACATTATCTTGTATCACTGCTTGTGGTTCACTGTGAAGACTGAGCCAAAACTGTTGGATTATGCCCAAGCCAGAGGCAGTTTTTTAAAAAAATATATTATAGAGTTCTTGTTAGTTTATATATTTGAATTACTGTATTATTATTATTATTTTCATTTGAAGGGGGGGGGGTGCAATTTCCATTCTATATTTGTGGGAAAATATAGCATGTGGTATGGATCTTTGGTCAGTTGAAGTGGGTTTTCAGTGATTACCTGTTTTATTTGATTTTCAATGATTGATCATTGATTGCTTGTCTTTCCAGGCGATGCGGAGGAAAAGTAAGCGTTTCCGTACTGAAGAAGAAGAACATGTTGGTGAATACTATGTACAGAAACAACAGGTGGAGGCCAATAAGGCCTTCACTCACTTACAGCACATGTGTGCTCTGGATGTCGACTCTGAACCTCACTCAGTGCGTATGACAGGGATCATTTGCACAATTGGTATGTATTTGTGATCATACACAGTCAGGGCCTTAATTGTTTTAGTCCACTGGTCACAAAGACTGGGTGGGCTTCAGAAATCTTAAGCTTTGGAAAGGTAAAAGGGATGAATACAGTAGAATTCCCATATGTTTTATTAGATAAGTAACTTAAATTTCTTTTGTAAACAACTTGAAGATGAATAGATCTAATACTGGTAGTTAGGTACTTCAACAATGCTTGATGTTATTGTGATCGAAAAGAAGACGAACAATGTAAGACATAATTCAAGACCAAAGACCATGTCATAATTTTGGCTTAAAAAGTTCTTTATGTTATGTGATGATCAAGTTGCATATCTATTTGTCTGTGTATTTTTTTGTTAATTTCTGATAACTTCAGGTCCAGCATGCCGCTCAGAGGACATGATTGAAGACATGGTGATGGCAGGAATGAATATTTGTCGACTTAATTTCTCTCATGGAGACCATGAAGTAAGTTAAGATTTGTTTAGCATAAAATGAGGTATATTGTGCTTAGAACTGTGCCAAGCACGGCATACTGAAACTGCAGATCGTAGCAGTCATGACTAATAACATTTAAAGGACCATTAGAAAATTTCAGACAATCTGAGAGACCAACAGCAATAAGAACCATCAGTTTGAATGTACAGTTCGTCTGACGAAAAGTCCTTCAGCCTGGAAAACTTTTTATAACAGCTGGTGTGAAAGCCTGGGTTAAGTTATTGGTGCTGGTTGTCATTCATTCAAATCTCTTTTATAGAATTGAATACATGTTGTATGTATATGAAATAATATGTACTGTTTTGTACATTTATTGTAGTATCATGAGGAAACTATCAGAATAATCCGTGAGGCTCTAGCAGATTTCAGCCACCCTAGACCTACAGCTATTGCCTTGGATACAAAAGGACCTGAAATTAGGACAGGTTTACTTCAAGGGGTATGTAGACAAAAATGTAGATGTTGAACTGGTGTATTTTTCAGTGTTCTTATAATGAATGATTATTTGATGTTCATGAAGTAAAAGGTAAATGAAATTGATGAAAAAAGAAAAAAAAACAACATTATTTGCTGTTTCTCAGTTCCTATTTGTCTTGCAGGGTGCATCTGCTATAGTCCATCTTACGAAAGGCCAGGAGGTTACAATCACAACTGATGACAAATACGAAAAACAGTGCGATGTAAACCATCTGCATGTTGACTACAAGAACATAACTAAAGTGATGAATCCTGGGAAAAGAATCTTCATAGATGATGGTTTGATTTCTTTAATCGTAAAAGAAGTAGGTAAGTCGGTGTTCACAAAATTAATATACTGTGATTTGGGACAGCCATCACTTATTATAGCATAGCATCTTTAGGTGGCCTTTATATTTTATTCATGAATATGCCTGTATTTTCTCCTTTAGAGCATGAACTATTTTTGCTAACATTTTTGTGACTTGTCCAGTGTTTGACAAGATTTCTATTGAGCTTTAATTTAACAAAAAAATTGTATGTTTTAATACAACATTCATTTGATTTTAGGCAATGACTTTTTACGATGCGAGGTAGAAAATGGAGGGGATCTAGGCAGCAAAAAAGGTGTGAATCTCCCTGGCACGGAGACGGACCTACCAGCTGTGTCAGAAAAGGACAAAAGTGACTTACTTTTTGCAGTGGAACAAGAGGTACAACACCCCAAGTTTAATTGGCCTTTTTTTTTCAAAAGCATTTATAAAGAATCAAATCCCTTTAAAAATACATGCAACTTTGTTTAAGCCTTAAGAATTCAAAGATCTAATATTTGGTATTGGTTGTGTGGCCACTGGTAGTGACATTAACTCTTCTTTTTCTTCATAATCCTCAAATATCCATAGATGTTTTTTTTTTTTTTTTCAATGAAAACTTTTTTTTTCATTACAGATTGACATAATTTTTGCGTCATTCATAAGAAGTGGGGAGCACATCAAACAAATTCGTGAGATTTTGGGAGAGAAGGGAGCTTACATTAGAGTTGTTGCCAAAATTGAAAACCAAGAAGGCATTCAACAGTAAGATGTCTTTTTTTTATTTCATTGAGTTGGAGATATAACATCAAATTTTACAGCAATTAAGATATAAAATTTTTAAAATACGAAAACAACATAACTGAAAAATGAAGCCTGATCAGTCTATGCAGAGAATGTTTGAACTAAATATAAAGCAGTGCAATAATTGTGTATAAACCATTGTTTTTTTTCCAGTTTTGATGACATTCTCAGTGAGGCAGATGGCATCATGGTAGCCAGAGGGGATCTAGGTATTGAGATCCCCCCTGAAAAGGTATTTCTGGCACAAAAGATGATGATTGGGCGCTGTAACAGAGCAGGAAAACCAGTCATTTGTGCCACACAGGTGAGTGTGAAGAAAAGCCTCTGAAAGAAGAAGAAATTTAGTTATGTTCCAAAAATTGAAGATTTCCAAAAAAGCTTAATTGTATAAAAAGATGAGAATTTTGTGTCTGATTTTAAAAGTTAAAAGAAAGAAATTCAGTTATTTAATCACTTGTAATTTAACAGGAAAAACCTTCCATGGTTTTAAAGTGAAACTTTTGTTTCAGTTATACATTATCACATGCCTACAAGAAGTCATTATTCCAGTTTTCTATTAAAAATTCAGTTTTACAAACCAGTGGTCATTTTGAATTTGATTCTGTAGATGCTGGAGAGCATGATAAGTAATCCACGTCCAACTAGAGCAGAGGCCAGCGATGTTGCCAATGCAGTGTTAGACGGAGCAGACTGTGTCATGCTCTCGGGAGAAACTGCCAAAGGAAAATATCCTCTGGAAGCCCTGAAGATGATGCATCATGTATGTAACAACTTGGAAGTTGTTCATTACTGGAAAATAATAAGAAAATAGAATCCTAAATTGGTTTGTCTGAAACTTTTCAGTCCACTGCTAAATGGGACTAGTTGGCCCTTTAAATACCACTTGTCAAATTCAAAATTGACTAGTAGGAAGATGAAATCACATACAGCCACTGATATAGATTTTGAAAAATCTTCCTAATTTAAGACTGGAAAATCCAATCTACTTGTCACTTGCCTCAGAGCAGTGGTTCACTTTGCTTACTATTATAGAAAAATTTTGGAGTCTTAGTAATTATGTGATTCATATTTTCAAAGGAAAAATTTACTTTTATATCAAATTGACATTGTGGAATTGTTGAAACTGTTACAAAGACTTAGTTTGATGCTTTACTAGATCTATAGATCTATCAGGTTAGATCTATATTTTCAACGTGACTGTATTTACTTAGGTATGTAGAGAGGCAGAATCTGCAGTATTTCACAGACAGCTGTTTGAAGAACTGCGACGTGAGACTCCTATACCCACTGACACCACCCATGCCACTGCCATAGGCGCAGTGCAAGCCGCTATTACTGTACAAGCTGCTGCCATCATCGTGGTTACAACTACTGGAAGGTAATGTTAGGACTATATTTATATACCATTGATTATAGTAACTGTTAAATCATGCAAGTTAAATCTCTGATGGTTAATACAGTCTTAATTCTTTTCTCACTATGATATTTTAATGCTTTAGATAGTAGATGTACTTGTGTTTTTCAGTGGGTCATACTTGGTTTTAGTCCATATTGATACCAATTTAAATGAGTATTAAGACCAATAGTGTAATTTAAAGATTAAGCGAATATATTAGGTTCATTATATTAAAAAAATTGTATATAGTAACTGCTTTGTTATACGAATAATAATGAAGCAAGTAAATTTTTAAATTTTATTGCTTCCCATTGCATGCATGGATCATTAGGTTAAAAAATAAGCATGGATGCCCATAAGTATTTTTTCTGCTTTAAACTTTTTTATTGCAGGAATTTCTGCTGATGAGGCCTGTCTCTTATATTTTGCCACATTTTACCCACTAAATGTTGTAATATTTGCAGGAGCAGTTGTATATGTATGAAATAAGTACAATAACATTAGTTCGCAAATGTACTTAAATGTTTTGTCATATAAAAGTGGTTTATGTAAAACTGCTGTGATGGCCCAAATTGAGGTTATGCACATCTTCTTAGAGAGGGTTTACCTTACCAGCTTGTACATTTCAGTTGTTGCTCGATATAACATTTTCAGTCCCTGATGAACCAAGAGTTATTGTATGTTAACTTCATCCTGAATCTCTATTTTTGCAATTTCTGGTTCTTTTTTTTTTTTCTCTTCTCCTATAGAAGTGCTTTCCTGATTGCTAAGTACCGACCACACTGCCCAGTCATACTTATTACTCGGAAGGGTTTTATGGCTCGGCAAGCTCACATGTCCCGAGGAGTTTTCCCCATCCATTTCACTGGTAGGAGGAAGTGGAGTCCTTGAAAAAAATTTTTGTATTTAGTCTAATGCCTTGGGTACTTTTTTGCATCTGACTGAGGCTTTGAAAAGTTTTGTACTAAACAAGCAGATTTCTATTTTATTTTATTTTTTGACTGGGTCTGACTCTAAGCATGTTATCAAGATGGCATTACATTGCTGTGTGTTTGTTAGAGATTGAATGAGGTCTGCCTATACGTGTGTGAGCATCTTTCTCTACTCTAACTGAACATGGATACTAGGGTATCCTACAAGTTGGGTCTTACAACTATAACAACAGCAATGCCACTTACTTCATCTGAGTCAATTCTGTCAAAGTCTAATTTATTTATTGCACGACACGTTTAGCTGATAACAATGAAAAACCTTAAGACATGTTCCAGCCACGTCCCCTCTGACTTTCATGTGTTTTGCTCTATGTATGTGTACACTATGCTTCCTAGGCTAGAACCACTGCACAGATTTCATTGTTTTGTGTAGAACACCGTCCTTGGTCGCCAACTACCGTCCAAGGTGTCCAGTAATAGCAGTGACCAGGTGGCCTGCAGTGGCCCGTCAAGGGCACCTTGTAAGAGGTCTATTTCCTATCTATTTCACTGGTGGGTATGGCTAATGAAGTTTTTGATGCCCAAGAGAGAGTGTGTGTGCCCATTATTGTTTTGTTTTGCTTAGGACAGCCAGGTTGATTGGCTCTTACCGGCCACCTTGCGTGGTTATTGTCATCACCAGGACAAAGCATGTATCAAGACAGTGCCACTTGACAAGGGGACTGTTCTGCCTTGACACGCCAAGTGGGTACTTTACCAGCTAGCCACCACAAAATTGCATGGAATTATTGTTGTAATTTTGCATGATTTATTTGTTCCCTAGAACGCCAGCAAGGATTGCTGCTATGCGCCCAATGTGCCCAATCATTGCCGTTACCAGAATGGCTCTTCCTGCCAGGCAGATCCATTTACATAGGGGTGTCTTCCCTATACACTTTGTTGGTGGGTAAACCCAACGTGCATGGGACTCACATACAACAAATCCGAAATTGCTTATTAATTATACTTAACTTTCAGTTTCCATTGAAATAAAAACTGTAACATCTAAACCATAGGTCAATGAATGCCTGCTTTTGATGGGTGTTGGAACTCTGGTAATCTGCAAGAATCTAGTTCCATACCACTCCAAAGCAGCTGTCATCTCATCAACAATATGCTTTGCTTGTAGCTGCTTTAACAAATCAAGAGATGTGCCAACACCAAGTACCAGTAGCAAATAAATTTTAACACGCTATTTTCCTGTTTACTGCTCCTTAAAACGAAATCCTCCATCACCATGAATTTTGAAATGGTAGGTTTTACAAAAAACAATTTCTTTAGAGCTACAAACTAAGGAAAATAAACTAAGCAAAATGGACGGTAACAGGATGTATTAATTTCAAGCAAATACCCTGCTGACTAACCATTTTTGGAAGATGGGCAGTAAGAAAGATATTTACAAAAACTTTAAAAGAAAAGAGATGCAGAAACTTGAAGGTTAGCAGAGTTCTGGGTGAAGCATATTGCTGAAGTCATGACAGAACAGGGCTGCATTGGTAATGGCAGGTCCTTTGGCTTGGGATGAAGCTTCGCATCCTTTTTATGTATTTGCTTTTTTCTAATATCAACAGCTGTATTTTATTGTAGATCAGCATTTTCGATTGCCTCGTACCGCCCACGTGTTCCCATAATTGTGATAACGAGGGTGGCATATGTGTCCAGACAGGTGCACTTGTATAGAGGCCTTTTTCCTATTCACTATGATGGTGGGTATCAGTCTTTGAGTGCAGGTGCAGATCATCATCCATGTGCATGCTATAGCAGTAATCAACAACTTAAAGGGAATGACATATATTTCTGCTTCCTAAGGGATATGGCTATTTCTGTTTTAGATCAGCTTTTCACCTTGCCTCCTATCGGCCACGGTGCCCTATAATTGTGGTTACAAGAATAGGCCAAATTGCACGTCAATCGCATTTGTGTCGGGGTCTTTTCCCCATTCATTTTGTTGGTGGGTATAGATACAGAAGTGGCATTGTGCTTGTGGTGATTGATTTCCATGCACTTTTTATTTCTGAGATAATCCATAAGATAATCCATGCATGTGTTGTTTATGTTTGTATCTTGTCTTTGTTTGTATCTCGTCTTTGTCTATCCTTCATATTTGTATACTATAGAACCGCACAAAACATAGCAGCTTATAGACCTGGAATTCCAACACTTGCTGTTACAAGGTCCCCATCATGTGCACGCCAATGTCATCTATTTCGTGGAGTATTTCCGCTTCATCATCTTGGTGGGTAATTTGATTGACTAATGGTGATATTTGATTGGCTTTAATAACAAACATGTCAGAAATTAACACAGTTTTGATCATTCTGTAACCTCTTTTACTCCAGGTTGCTTAGTAGAGGGCTCAAAGATTTTAAAACAATTCTTAAATCAATATTTAGAATATCTTCTTTCTATAAATGTGTGAACTTTAGATAGGATTGCTATAGGGCATGTAGCAGTAAAATTTCATCATTATCAAACAAAATTGGAATGGTGTAATTCTTAAAATATTTTTATTTTACTGTAGTTTTAAGTATCGACTTTAAATTTTAGTTTGGTGGAAGGAACTGAGAAGCAAGAACATAAACACATTTCACATTATAGTATTTTGGTTTAGATAAAGGAAGAAAGAAGAACCTGTTATATCTGCATTCTACCTCTTGTATTAATTTGATTAATTATTGGTGTGTTAACTTCTCTACAGGTGAAATGTGACTTTTTAAAATAAGACACTAAATAGAACAATCTATTAATAACCCTATTATGTTGCCTATTTTATATTTAAAGAAAAATGATATTTTGTGTGTTTACATATATTTATATCTTAATTCAAAAGAGCCTCGTTGTGCTGAGTGGACTGAGGACATGGACCGCAGAATCTACAAGAGCATCGATGTGGGCAAGAAGCGTGGCTTCATGAAGGAGGGAGACCCACTGGTTGTGGTGACAGGGTGGAAGGCTGGTGCTGGCTTCACTAACACAATCCGTATCATCACAGTGCCAAAGGAGGCCCCCAAGTACGACCCCATCATTGGGTCTCTGCACATCACTAATTATGCAGATTAACCTGTCATAGTTCAAGATCAAGCTCCAGGGTTGTTTTTGTCTTCAGTTTCTGGGAATTTTCAAAGGAGTTTTTCCCATTGGTGCATTGATGCCTTTTTACTATGTTCATGTCCGTTTCAACTCCATTTTGCCAATTGTTTGGTGCACATGGTGTGTAACTTAGTTGCTAATTTGGGAAGTTATGTACATAAAACATATTTACACCTTAACTTTGTTGTGCTAAGAGAGTGATCTGAGAAAATAGTTTTAATGCATTGATGTTGATTGTGCCCCATGTTCCCATCCCATACACTAGTCTACATTTAGAAGGTGCCATAGCAAACTGATGTGTTGATTTTGAATTTTTTTTATGAAAGCAGTTAGAAGATTTGCATATGAAGGTGTGGTTACTAATTGAGTGCTGGTGTTTTGAAAAGAGTTCTTGAGTTCTTGCTATTGATTTTTCAACAGTTGCACTTTATGAAAAAGTCTGAAGACTGTGATAGTACTGAAGAAACGGGATTGATCAGTATTATACATAATAATTGTAATAACATAGTTATGTAAACCTTGGCAAGACAACAATGCCTTTGGAATGTTTTTTTGATTACAGATGATAAATTTACTTTATCACATTCATTGATGAACTTGCTTTATCACATTATCTGAACTAAAAGGGTTCAATTAACAAATAACATAAAGAAAAAAGGAGAAATTACTCTTACCTGAAGACTTAATTGCTGTGACTCTGATGAGTCGTTTGTGGTCAAATAGTTTCCATAAAGATGATGCATTTACATTTTTAATGTACAAAATCCAACTTTGTACATAAGGTGGTTCACCAAAAGTGGTGACTTTCTTTTTATTTATTTATTTATTATTATTGTTGTTGTTCATAGTTTTTGTATAAACAATATGTTGAATTAAAAATGTTGGTGCAGTGATTACTGCAAACAATTAGCACAAACCTGGTTCAAAAAATTAATAAAATATTGCATTACTTTGTTGTCATTTGTTGTTTATTTAAAGCATACTTTGAAATCTTTACTAGGTCAAATATTCCCTCTTACCTCTGACAAAATATGGAGTTTGAAGATTTATTAACGTGACAATGAAATGTGTTTATAGTGTGAAACAAATTGAATTTTTCTGTTTCTGAAGGGGAAAATGGAATTAGGAGGGGGGGGCGCTGAACTTCATAAACTTTGCTTGAAATATGCCAATCCTTTACTTTTGTGAGAACGGGTTTGGTTGGGAGAAGAGAGCTTCTCTTTTTAAATGACAGAAGATAGGAGGCGTGGTGATAGAAGCGGTAAATATCCGGTGATGATCTATACTTGGGTGCTCCAATCTACTGTTATATCACCCGTGTTCCTCTTAGTGGCAAGTTCAGTACTTATTAAGTAAAATATAATGAAATTGCTGTCATAAAAATACCATAGTTGTCCGACGTAAGTATTCAAAAAAACCCACGACAAGTGAACAAAGTTTCTTCAACAAGTAGGAAATTGGGGTATTATACAATTGGAATTTCTTTGCTAAAGTAAAGCAAAAGTAATTTGTATATAATAAGGTTGGCCTGTCAATACCGCTGAATCCAGAAGAATTGAAAATACATAATTCAAATGGGTGAATAGTATTTGCAAACACCGTTTATCAAATAACTATAAACTTCTTACTTAATTTACACCCAAATATTTTAATTCTTAAAAAAAGCTATGACCTGCATAAAGCCTAGGGTACATTTGTCACGGGCGACGTACGATGAAATCTTATGCGATTTTCCGTACGATTTTTGTGACATGTATCTAGGGCGATAATGTTTACATTACGTGCAGGTACCGCGTCATTCCTCCGACAAGAATTTAAAGTCACTTACGGTAAAAACGATTTGTCGGTTCAAAGGCCTCAGTGCAGTTGCTGTGCGACTTCCCTGCTGCTTCCTTGAATATTGATGCGTTGTCGGTACAGCCCCTTACGGTTTTACGCACCAATGAGGCCATGCACGCAAAATATCCAATTAATGCAAGTGAATTACATGTGTACTCTTTTAAAATTTTAAGCCATCTTTACCATTTTAAGCCTACTAAAACCACCCAAGGTGGGAGGAAAAGAGACCAACAACAGGTCCAACCATTACCACGACCACTGCAAGTTCACCCCGTACAATGCACTAAGCGATGTCATCTGCGATAATGCTACGGCCTGCGGGCTTTCGATTATTATTTATTTATTTATTTATTTATTTATTTTAGTTTTAGTTTGACAAATCGTAGAAGCTACAGAGGTCGTGAATCCGTACGATTTCGCACGGCCTCCGCGCAGACGCCGCACGAAAGGGGATATGCGAGCAGGTTTCCCGCACGTTTCCATATTCATTATGAAATGACAAGAATTTTCAATGTCATTAATATATATGTGTGTGTGTGTGTGTTGGGAGTTGCCCCAAGAAAATAGAAATGTTTCCCAAAATAAGAACATGACGCCAAAAAGTTCAGTAAAGTTCAGTAGCGACGAACTTAATTAAGCAAACTTTTTCTTTCTTTTTGTCTTTGAACATATATAATATTATTTCCTATTTTTCATTTTTTATTAAAAGAAGCAGATAATGCAAAAGCAAATTGTCTTCTTTTTTTAGTTTGTGCTCAGATTAAAAGTTATTTCAGCGGGGATTCTCGCCTAGGCGCAGTCAACGTAATCAGCTTAATTGTCTGGAACGCCCCTCGTAACTTTAAGTACTTGGGTAAACTTGGGAAAAATTAAAATTGAATATATATATATATATATATATATATATATATATATATATATATATATACATATATATATATATATATATATATATATATATATATATATATTGTAAAATGTAACGAACAAGTACCGTTCAAAGAAAAACAAAAATGCAACATATCTTCTCTTTTGCAAGTTTTCCTCCAAAAAATTTAAAACGACGTTATAGTCAGACGATATCTAAAACTTTGAATAGCTGCTAAATAACGAATTTCCCTGCTCACGTCCGAGATGAAAGTCACAAAAAATTTGGCCAGGCGTCCTTTTTTTCGGAGTTCTTGCCAAAAAAGAGAGAAATCAGACTATTCGTTAGAAGTTAATAATAAATGGGCTGATAGTAGGCCTACTGGTGAATTTGGAAATCAAATGTGAAGTCAATGATATTATGATTGGCGTCATGTTCTTATTTTGGGAAACATTTCGGAACAAATGCTCCGAATGTATTTTTTTCAGTATCTCAACCTCCATTTGCGTATGTTTCTTTCCTTTATTTTCTATCACAAGTTATTTTTGTACAACTTTTTAATTATTAGTAGGCACAATAATCAATGACCTTACTGAAGAAGTAGAGTTGTCTGTTCGTTATATTTAATAAGGACAGGGTCGACCTTGCCTTTGTCGACACACTATGAAGGCCTACTCCTTAGCTTTGGACATACTAAAACAACTTTCAATGTCCAAAACCCTTACAGAATAAATTTCATTTCTGCGATATCTCCGGAGTTGCACGAAAAAAGACCCTTCCCCTCCTTGATAATGTACATTGGTCTTGGATTGGTTGAAGCTGATGCTATGTACACCTACCTCCAATTAAGTTTTCCCAAATAAATCTTTACAGACAATTGCAAGTCTGGCACCGAGGGATGGCCCGATGACCCAAGCAGAGGGTTTTGTTTTTTGTGTTGAGTAATTTACCGATGCGTTAAAACAAAACTCGGCATTCACTTTTTATTTTTACATCTTTATGTCTATGCCAAACAAAATAAATTCTTTTAACAAAAGTCGCATTGCTTGCTTGCAGATTTTCAAGGTGTAATTTTATTTATTATGTTCAAATGTTAAATACATTTCCTTCGAAAGTATACAGAAGAAGCAAGTGTCGAGCAGGTGCGTTAGCCTTTTGTCGTGAAAGTTCTCTGTGACGTCACGGATTAGGCCAACTCCCAAATGTGATTGGTGAGATATCAATTCGCTTCATGAATATGTACAAAGTCGCGTGCTCGAGGGGTCCTTACAATTGATCAATACCAACACCCCTCTACGCGGCATTGATCAACCCGCGCGTTGTGGCGATCATTGCATTCAACCTTTCGGTAGCAAAGTGAGATAGGAGCGTAATAATATTATACAGATCACAGTAAAAAAGATGAAGAGGCGAGTTGAGCTGGAAATGCGGGGCAGGAAGCCCGAGGAGGTATGGCATTGTGTTTCTTGTTTTCTTTTATTTATTAGTGCATTGGAATCTAGTGGTACACTGTCAACTACTATACAGTCAGGCCCATGTGTTTTGACTATGGGAGCACATGCTCGCCGGTACAAGTGGTTTGTAAGTTAGGTCATACAGTTGAAGATCGGATACTGATAATGGGCAAATTATATTTATGTCTTTTAAACGAGCATGTGTGTCACTGTGTTGTTGTCACAGACCTTTATAGTGTGGTGTAAACAACGGTTGTCATTTATTTCGTGATCAAATATGGCGCCTTCGCCCTGACCTCAACGAGTAAGAATGAAGCTTCAAAAACTTAAAAATCCCCAGGATGGTTGATCAATACACGATGCTATATTGCACTTAAATGTGTTTTAAGTGGACAATGCGTAGTTTCAATTGGATTTATGTCCAGTTTTCACCTTCCTATTTTATCTTTTTGTTTTGGATGTTATTATATGAAATCTGGCGGCGAACCAATATTTTGCGGTTATGTGAATCAAGTGTGTATAGATATACAGCTTTGTTTCGTTTACACACACACATACTATAGTTAACGCTGTTGTCCAAGCATAGTTTTTTATTTTGATACGAATTGTTCAAGCATTAACCGTGCAAAGCACTCGTGCCTCTCACCGGCACTGCCAGACCCTTGGTTGTCTGCGGTGCAGAAGCCATGTTGAATTTTCGGAAGTTTGGGTACAGCACGACTTATGTTTCAGCAGTTCAGTGATCAGAATGTTTTTGTTGCTCATTAGTTTGCTTGTCATATCTTAATGATTGCTTCGCAATTTTTAAGTAGTGGATCAGGAGCATGATGGCTAGAAAAAGGATTGACCTACTTTATTAACTTGCATTTCGGCCCATGCTTTTAGATATCAAATATGCCCGAAATATTGTCCAACTATAGTTAAACACTAAAACATTATTTAAATAAACAGGGAGCAACGTTTGAACAAAAATAAATTGCCTTTTCAAAGTTAATTACATGGACTGACTGAGAAAATTGGTTCAAATTTCAAAAAGGTTGAACTTTGTTTACACATTACAGAATCACGGTCGCCGCCATGTTTGTTTGCCGAGGATCTCGGGCTTTTCAAAATTGCGTCCCAAAATCCATGTTTTAACAACTTGAAAAGTCAAATTTGGACTAAATTAATTTTCCTTGTGAACTCTAGTGTACCATTTTAGAGTTTAACATAAACTTACCAAGCAACTACGCTTAGGAAAGGAAATTTCTGCTTAAAACCTGGGCGCCATTCCTAACGTGGCGTACCCGCAAGCTTAGCTGCCTTTGTCTGAGCAAGATTATAATGTACTCTGTGACGGACATATGAAGACATTTTTCGGTAGGGGATATTTACAGCTTCTATCAACCTAGAAAGACACCCATTGCATCTTAAGTAGATGAGACGTCAGAGAAGACTCTGTCTTGACGAAAGACTGCTTGTTATCTCTGAATTTGAGTAATTTGGAAAGCATTTTGAAGGTGGCAAGCTTGTCACGTGACCGTCTTGTTCTCGAATAAATTATACACAGCCGATGACGTCATGGATTGCCTTTTGTTGAATATCTTTACCTACGCACTTTCTTGCTTTAACTTATGAATAAGATGGCTTACTTTGATATGTTTACTTTACAGATACTGGACCTAAATCTGGATAATTGTCGCTCCACAAGCATAGAAGGCCTTACAAGTGATTTTGTCAATTTGGAATCCCTTAGTTTAATCAATGTTGGTCTCACATCATTGAAAAAATTTCCAAAGTTAACAAACTTGAAAAAGGTAAGTTAGAAATTGTATTTCATGATATGCATATAAACATGACAAAGAAGTGTTTTTCTTTTAAGATTCCTTTTGTAGTAAGATTCAGTAATTAATTTTGAAATGTGAGGAAAAGTTTGGGTACATACGCTAGTAATTGATGATCTGGTAGTTACATTTGACTAATTTTTTTATTTTCAGTTGGAACTTAGTGATAACAGAATTTCATGTGGTTTGGAAAATCTGAGTGAATGCACAAATTTGACATATCTGAATCTTAGTGGGAACAAAATAAAAGATATTAGCACATTAGAAGCTTTGGTGAGTATCCGTGTGATTGTATTTATTTTTCATTTATTAATAAGTGCATTTGCTAACACATCCATTTTTCTGTTTTCAAAGACATCTTGGACAGTTGAACTGAAAGTGATAACTTAAGTAAGAAAATAGTATTTATTAGTATTAAGTAGTTAAAATGATTAGTAGAACTGTAATTGACTTTCATCCTTTATATTAATTATCATGTTTCACGTCTTACAGCAGGGTATGCCAAACTTGAAAAACCTTGATTTATTCAACTGTGAGGTCACTAACTTAGAAAACTACAGAGAAGAAGTATTCAGATTACTACCCAAGCTACAGTATCTTGATGGCTATGACAAGGATGATAAAGAGGCTGAGGAAGATGATGATGAAGAAGGTAGTTTACATCAGAATGGTTTATTAAGAAAAAAAAGGTTGTATAATCAATTCATTGAAAATGAAAGAGGGTTGTAGTTAAGAAGAAATTTTTCTTTTAATAAATATTGTAGTACATGCTAAATTCAATGAAGTACCATAGTTTACAAACCCAGAAAAATATTTTAAGAATCACTGACTAGAAGTTACAGGTTTAGCACTGATTAAAGATGAAACAATAGATTATTTTATTTTTTTTTATTTTTTTTTTTTTTTTGGTATTAAATGGGTGGGTGAAAGTTTTCAGGATTGTTTGAAACCAGTATTTTCAGTTGTCATTTTGATAGTTTTTTCATGTGGTCTAAATACAATGAGAAATGCAAGGAACGTTTTCAGAATTTTTAGTTTTTACAACTTTCAACCATGGTTTTATGAGATAATTATAAAATTTTCAGATGGTGAAGTTGAAGGTGAGGATGAAGATGACGAAGATGATGATGACGGAGAAGTGGAAGTAACAGGTATATTTAATTATATTCTGCAGTGATCAGTCAAAAGAATGCTTTGACTTTGCTAGGTGGCTGAACTGAAAATATTGCTTTTATCAACTAGCCAAATGTGTGTAGCTGAATGTACATTAACCATCACCTAATGTCAATGAGTGATTCATTGATAATTGGCTCTCTTATCAGAGCTGAAGAGTTCCGCCTCCCAAAAATAAACCAGATTGACTTAAAGTATAATAAGGCTTTATCCTAGTAAGTTTTGTATTACTTTTTCCAGGTCATATCAAATGAGTATTTATTATATACGAAGGGGGGGAAAGCCCAGTTGATTATAAATGAATTTTTAAAAATATATGTAGATTCTAAACACTAAAGTTTTGTGTTAATTTTTCCAGGCCAGGTGGTCTGTGAGTATACTTTTGTTTCAATGTATTGTGCCACTGTACATACTGGGTTCACACTTACGGAATCTTTTGTTTTAGCAAACTTTTCAGACAGGCATGAAAAAAAAAAAAAAAAGAATGGTTTGAATGTTTTAGTTGTTGTCGGTATCGTTTGTTGTGTGAGCCCAGGTAGTTGTTGCTTTGTCTATGGTTTAGTGAGGTAGCTTGCCTGACACACACACATATATATGTATACATAAACTTTTAGGTGATTGGACTGACTGCACAGGTGCTTTTTTTTTTTTTTTTTTTTAAATTTCAGTTCCATTATTTCACACTTTATGTTTAGGATAAGACCTGTGTTTATTAAAAATTTGAAGACCCAAAGCCTTCCTGTATTTAATCTTTGATGCATGCCAAAAATTATTGAATGCTAGATAACATTATTAGTGGTTTCCTTTTTAAAATCTGGTTCAAAATTTGATACTCTATATGATCTTACATGCTTCAGTTCAGATTTTCTTGATTTAAAGTTGGTCAAAAATACAATATTGTTTTATGTATTTTTTCAGATGAAGATGATGATGATGACGAAGATGAAGAAAATGTAGAAGATGAAGATGACGATGATGATGAAGAAGATGGTGAGGAAGAAGAGGATGAGGAAGGAGTAGAGGACGAAGAAGATGAGGAAGACGACGAGGTTGGTCTGGACTACCTTGAAAAAGAAGATTTGGAAGTGAGTTCGAAATGAACTTGCAGATGATGAAAGTAATACTGGTATAGATAGAATTAGGTTAAAAAAAGTAATTAGGTAGTTGATTTTCAGGTGGGTTTATTCTAAGGAAAGTTGCAATTACCAACTGTTTTTCTTTGAATTTTAATCATACCACAATACATTTATTACAACTCTTGTGACACCAAATGTTTTTTATACCCTTTAGAAATATACACAAAGATTGGAGGCAAAGCATTTTTCAATAACTTAAATATCATTTAAAAGTGACAAATGCCACATTAAGAACAGAAATATAATATCCTTTATAAAAAACTTTCATATGATTTAAAAGTGACAAATGTCATATTTAGAACAGAAATACAATATTTTTATTTTCAAACACCGAGTGTCTTTATATATTCTGATTGGTCTGTCTGTCATTACTGTCACTGTCTGACACATAACTTCCAAACCATATTTTTGTTTATCAAGTAGCTTTGTTTGGTAAAGAGGCAGGTTGTTTTTGAAAATCGGCATTATTGGTTTACACTTATGGTAATTATTATTTTTTTATTTTATTTTATTTATTTATTTATTTATTTAATTTTTNTGTGACACCAAATGTTTTTTATACCCTTTAGAAATATACACAAAGATTGGAGGCAAAGCATTTTTCAATAACTTTAATATCATTTAAAAGTGACAAATGCCACATTAAGAACAGAAATATAATATCCTTTATAAAAAAGTTTCATATGATTTAAAAGTGACAAATGTCATATTTAGAACAGAAATACAATATTTTTATTTTCAGACACTATGAGTGTCTGTATATATATTCTGATTGGTCTGTCTGTCATTACTGTCACTGTCTGACACATAACTTCCAAACCATATTTTTGTTTATCAAGTAGCTTTGTTTGGTAAAGAGGCAGGTTGTTTTTGAAAATCGGCATTATTGGTTTACACTTACGGTAATTATTATTATTTTTTATTTATTTATTTATTTATTTTTTGCACAATTTTTGTGACGTTCGCCCCATAACTTGAAAACCATATTTTTGTTTGACTTTTAATTTACAAAGTGGCTTTGTTTGGTAAAGAGGCTGCTTGCTTTTGAAAAATCAGCATAATCAGTTTATATTTACAGTAATTATTCTGTTTTTTATGTGTGAAATTTTCATTTTTCACACATTGGCATTTTCATTGGCTTTTATATCACATGGAATTGAATCACTTGCTAGTTTTCAGTCCATGTTATCTGTAGTACATAATGTAAGAGGGTAGGAGTTATTATGCTATTTTAAAGCATTATGTAACAGAGCATCAAAATTGGCCAAAACATTTGACAGCTTTGCTGCCTTGTTTCCTGTATGGTGTCTGTATATTTGTCAGCTTTGCTCTCTAGTTAAAAATATGCACAAATTCAAATGTTGTTATCCCACTGCCTGTGCTTGGAACAATAGGATATTTGCACTTGTACTATTCTTAAATGCTTGTCTCTATCTTTGTATGCTTCATCCTTTTGTTTGAAGCATTAGTCATGGGATAAGACAGTTACAACTTCTTGGCTTCCACTGTATGGAACATGCAAGAGCAAATTATCTCTGCTGTGATTTGATATAGTTATGCTCTTGCATGTTGCATGCAGTGGATAATCTGTGTAGTAACTAGTACTGATGGGTGCAAATACACCATCACCTCATCCTCTCGTTAGAAATGTCATATCTGGGGTAGCGCTAGCAATTTTTTTCGCTTAGCCAAATCACCACATTTTTGTCAATTTGTTACCAAAATGGTTATAATTTGGCTAAAACATGTCAAATCAAGCTCTTTTTCTTTAGCCAATTGATGTCAGTTTTAGCATTTGGCTAAATTGGCGAGTGTTAGCGCTACCCCAGCATATATTTAACTTCAAAAACCTGCTATGTAATCGAGTCGTTTTTGATATCTTTTCTCATTCTTTGAAATTTTCACTTCAGGATGACAGTGAAGGTGAAGACTTTGCACCAGGGGCAGATGATGATGATGATGAAGTGGAAGTTGAAGAAGATGGTAAGAGTGATTTCTTTATTGATTTATTAATTTTTCTTGGGTTTTGTTTATATTTCTGTGAATTGGCATCTGATTGGAATTGGTGTTGTTGAAATCATATTTAGAAAAACAAAATTGTACAATAATTTAATTTTAAAGACAAAATTACTTTCAGTCAGTATTTGCCTATTGAAACATAACTAAATAAGAATGAAAATATTTGATTTGAATGGTAAAAAAGTAAAAGGTTGTTAAAGAGACTTTTCATGATTTTGTGGTAGTGAGACAAAGAAAATGCTTTGAATGAATAAGATTTGAATACAGATAAATGTTGATTTGACACTNTGCCTTGTTATTATTATTATCGTTGTTATTATCGTTGTTATTGATGGTGGTGGTGGTGTTCTTGCTGGTGCTGTAATTGTTAATGTTGTTACCTTTTTTATAATTTTTTTATTTTTTTGTATTTACAGTTATTGGCAAGAGAGCAGACATAGAAAGAAAATACATTTCAAACAGTAAAACGGTACGTTGTATTATTTAGAAAGGATGCGACGTTTATAATGGGATGTTGAATGATCTAACTCTAGAGTTATATGAATTTTGCAATTGAATCAAATCGTCCTAATATCAAAATTAAAATGTTGTTATGTGAAAGATTTTTAAATGATGTTCCTTAGCGATTATCGGTAGAGGGTTGATAATATTTTGGATATGTGCACAGACAGATATACAGATGAGATTCAAGACTCAATCACAGCAGGGAATTATATATTAATTATATCCGATATAATTTCCTGATCACATCGACATGGTACATACAGCAGTGTGCATTTCCTTACAGGTGAAAAAGCGGGACTTAAAGCAGCGCTTCCGAAAAAACAATGCTGCCAGCAAAACCACCTGGGAAATGATTTGGAGAGGAGAAAAATGAGATCTTACGATACGAAACCGTAACCTTCAACGTTTTCTCAACGAATTTCTACCCATTATTTGAGATTTGTAAAAATGACTTTAAAATGACACTAATCTTTCTATTGGATAATAACTTTACAAGGCAATACGTGGATATGCGATTTTCATTTACAACAATAATAACAATAAACAATGATAGAAGTGCCCCTCGCCGAGATTTACACGTGAACTCACGATTCCTTTCATTTTGTTTGGATATTTGACCTACGACAATAACGCACTGGCTTACTTTTGTTATTTACACACCAAGCAGAAAACTATCAACAAGTTGTAGCTCATTTAATTTTCCCCAGTGCCTTATTGTTTGCTTTCCAATTAATAATGGGAATATTACTCCCACTAACTCAAAACATTTCACATTTGCAAATTTAAGAAATTGGGATCATTGTAATATTCCTGGCTTTATACGGTCAATGTACGCAGATTATACTGAGTCTCCAGTTAACGTAATAAAGGCAAGGGTCACGTTAGTATGTACACCTTTTTCACCCAGTCTTGCGTTGGTCTTATCATGGACAATTCAGTTTTTTAATAACTGAGATGGTAGCGTCAGTAGGTTTCGTGTCGTCAGTTAAGTGAAAGAAAGCTGTTTGTGACAAAATGTTACAGCCAGTCAAATATGCCCTATTCTACTCGTTTTTTATACCCCGCGGCCGTCGCCGCAAAATCTTACATGGAATTTGTTTCAGTGTGTTACAATCCTGGTTGAGATCTCTCACCGTGGCTCCCCTCTCGTCATTCACCTCTCAGGCCACAGGCCTAAAATTAATGGCGCTACATTGGGACAAGTGAAATAACTTTGTTTGTGACAAAATGTTACAGCCAGTCAAGTATGCCCTATTCTACTCGTTTTTCATACCCCGCGGCCACCTCCGCAAAATTTTGTATGGAATTTGTTTCATAGTTTGTTGCAATCTTGACACATTTTTAAAACTACCTTTTGTCAGTTTTGTTCAACCATAGCAAAGAAAAAATTCATAAATAATATTTTTTTTGCATCCGCCGACCCCTCCCCCTTCAAATAATCCTGGATCCGCCCCTGAAACCATTAAATTTGTCACTGAAAACATCGACGTATTATATGTATCTTTTATCGTGTAAGCCAGTAAAAACATTTTCTTTTTATGATGAACAAACAAAATATGTCTCGGTCAGACTCAGGCTATTGTACTTAAACGAATTTTTATATTTTTGACGTCCTTTCAGTCTAGGGCTCTATAGTTATAAATGTTAAAAAATAGATGGGTGGACACTTTATTGGAATATGTAAATACCATACGTAAAATATGAAAAGCCATTATATAAGAATATGAATGCATTTAGGATTTGACTGACCTAATGATATACAGTATAACATGCGCATATATCCAATCTGACTCCTTTCATTTATCTCAACTGTAATTTGTAATTTTTTATAAGTACAATACAGTGCTACATGTAGGCGTGCAAAAAATATAAAAACTACACATGCATTTTCGTGTTTATAGCTCTGTTATATGAGCATGGTTATGGCTGTATAGTTAGTTTTGGTATGTTAAGGACGCTAGTTAAATCAGCTTGCTAAGCCACATCATTATGCATGGTCTGCATAAATGTCACTCTTGAGCGAGAGGCACGGAAATAAAGAAGTATGCTCTATTCTAGCCCATCACCCTAAAACGTGACCCCCTCCCTTCAATAAATAAATAAATGAATAAATAATTTTACAGTTAAACGAGACTTACCTGTAAGTTGAAGTTTGACTATGATTCTACCGAGTCTTCAGGAACAGAGGGTTTACGTGAGATAGAACCGAGACCGCGCATGCTCAGGTTTTAAAGGTGTGTGGTTGTCAGGAAAAAACTGTAACTGGGTAGGGAGGGTAGGGCACGTAAACCCTCTGTTCCTGAAGACTCGGTAGAATCATAGTCAAACTTCAACTTACAGGTAAGTCTCGTTTAACTGTAAAATTCTACCTCGTCTTCATTCACAACAGGGCTTACGTGAGATTTTAAAGTTCATGACAAGCACACACAAATTCCCAAAAAACAAACAACCAATGGAGATGAAACAAAGTGTAATATGTCTAGAAACATGAAAAAGATACACATATGTGCTCCACCAATAATATGTTGAAGATGGTAAAATCAATACTCATGAGCAACAATGTTCTATGACCTTTACTGTCTAGAACGGATGACAATAAAAACATACTCAAAGTCTAATATACCATAATATAATTACTTAGTATTGATTGACCGTAATAAGGTATCACTAAACGAATTCTGACTAACTATAGGCTTGTTATAAAAACGAGCAAAAGTACTGGCATTGGACCATCCAGCTTTATTCAAAATGTCTTCTAAGGGAACCGTTGCCCTAAAAGCTGCAGAAGTAGCTGCTGCTCTAGTACTATGAGCCTTAAAAATAGTAATATCTATTCCAGCTCTGGCTAGCATAACTTTGATCCATCTACTAACGGTTTCTCTCCCTACAACACCATGAGGCTTTGTATAGCTAATAAAAAGTCTATCTCCTTCCTTTCTCAAAGATTGGGTTCTTAGTAAATATTCCGATAAACAGTTCACCACACACAACTTTTTATTTACAGGATAAGCCGAAAATTTAATGGCAGGCAAGGTAGTCCCAGGCCTGCTTTGCTTAATGTGTTGATGAATAGTAAATGTATACGAAGCTTTCCCAATATGCATGTCACCAGTGTTCAGTAAGTGTAAAGTCTGTCCCCGTTGAGCAGAGGTAAGAGCCATTAAAACAATAAGTTTTAGTGTGAGATCCTTCAGAGACAATCTAGATACAATAGGTAGAGTACACAAATAATCTAGAACCACTTTAACATCCCAAATGCAGTGATACCTAGGGGATGGAGGTTTGGATTGGTAAACTGCTTTAATAAAGCGTTTCACAATAGGCATGGCCCCAAAAGGAATTCCAGAGTCCATAATCAGTACCGCAGATAATGCAGATCTGGCTGTATTCAACGCACTATAGCTAAGACCGGAATGGAATAGTTCCACTAGAAAATCCAAGGCATCTCCTATGGGAGGTCGAATGGAATTAATTTCCCTCTTAGAACAGAAAAGTTGCCACTTTGTGAGATACGTCCTATATTGTTTATGCGATGAATCTCTCCATGATCGTAGGATGATGTTGATAGCCGGTTCTGATATTTGTTGCTCTTTGAGGGCATCCCTGACAAGGGGCATGCAAGTAGATTGAGACTGTTGCATAATGGATGACTTGCTTGGCTGTATGGAAGCACCAGCAACCTCTTCCTCTTTTGCAACAAAAGAGGGTTGGCTGTCAATAGAGTTAGCAGTTTTGGAAACCAGACCTGTGTCTTCCAACACGGTACTATCAGTATCCCTGTCGCCCTGTCTTGAACAATTTTCTGGAGGCATTTCGCTATCAAGCTGAAAGGAGGAAAAGCATAAAAGTAAAAGGAGTGCCAGTCTATGCTAAATGCATCGATGAAGTGAGCTTCTGGGTCAGGTCTCCATGACACATATGGTTGTAACTGACAATTCAAACGCGAAGCAAACAAATCAATGTCAGGTTCTCCGAATTTCACAGTGACCCTCCTATAAGTATCTATGTCCAACATCCATTCAGTGTCATCATGAAACACTCTAGATTCTCTGTCAGCAACAATGTTAAGTGAACCTGGCAAATATGCTGCCGTTAGCCAGATATTTCTAGCTTTGCACCATAAAACAATTTCTCTAGCTAAACTGTTGCACAAAATTGATTTACATCCACCCATTTCATTAATGTAACACACTGAGGTGGTATTATCTGACTGTACCTGTATATGACAATCAGTAAACTCGGAACAGAGAGATTTTAAACCTAGAAACACCGCAAACAGTTCTAGATAATTAATATGATGAATAGTCTCAACAAAGCTCCACCTTCCCCCAGTGGACACCCCTGCACACTGGGCTCCCCAACCTAACTTAGACGCATCCGTTTGCATGATAATAGTTGGGTTTCCATGCGAAATAGGGTTGGAAGCTAATGTAACATTCTCTATCCACCATTGCAAATCTGCCCTAGCTAACCTAGGGAGAGTAATTTTACTTTCAAAATTCCCACCATGTGATCGTAGAGCTTCAATTTTAGCCATCTCTAAGGAGCGATAAAACAGTTTCCCATATTTGACTGCAGGGAGACTGGCTACTAACAAACCAATGACTATCGCCAACTCCCTGATAGTAACATAAGTTTTGCATAACAGTTGAGAACATTCCAACTGGATTTTAAGTGCCTTCTTTTCAGTTAACCTAACTGACATGTTAGTGGAATCTAAGATGAACCCTAAAAAGGTAATTGTTTGCTTGGGAATAAAGGCAGACTTGTCCACATTAATGGTGAAACCCAGCCTAGACAGAAGCCCCACTGTCTCTCTAACATTATCCATGCAGTCCTCAAAAGTATCCCCTTGTAAGTAACAATCATCTATATACCCAACAGACTGGTGTCCCTTATTCCGTAATGAGGCATACACAGGTTTAAGTAATTTAGTAAAAAATCGAGGAGCACAGGCTAACCCCATAGGCATACAGGTAAATTGAAAAAGGTTGCCCCTCCATGTAAATCTAAGGTATTTCTGATGGTCTACGTGAACAGGTACTGAATAGTAAGCATCCTTAATATCCGCACTAGCCATATAACAACCTGGTTTCATCATGGCTAACGCACTGTAAAGTGAATCCATTTTAAAATGTGCATATTCTACTGACTCATTCAAATGTTTAAGATTTAAAATCAATCTAAAAGAGCCATCTGTCTTTGGTGTGATAAAAATATTAGACAGAAATTCACCTTCACTGTGAATGGCAGGAGTGATAATGTCTTTATCCAAAAAGTTATTCAACAATTCATCGATGACAATCATCTCCTTTTGATCAAAACAAATTTCTGAAGGAACAGAGAGTTGCCGGGGAGCACAACCGTCCTCAAATGGAATTATAATGCCCTGAACCATTTGTAAAATGCTTTTATCCGATGTAAGATGTTTCCATTCATGAACCGCTTCTTTAATTTGGCTCGCATGGAATGGTGGCTGAGCAGTAAGGATTGCATTTACGTGAGTATCAGAACAAGCAATGGGGGCCGCCATCTTGGAAACGCTAGGCGGCACGTGTGAAACAGAGTTTGTGGGAAAACCGTTACTCACCACATTCACCGACGGCTGGATTTCCCTCTCCCCTTTTTCCTTGCGGAATACGCACTTCCTCCGTAGTTTAAATGCCGTAAGTCAGAGTAGGGTGACCCTCTCCTGTCCGAAGTCTGTTGCGGACGATAGGGGGCGCTACCGCTTAAGCCACCTCGACGTGAAGGAGAATCCCGTCTGTTACGAAACCCACCGCTTAGGCGCAGACTTGCGTTGTTAGCTTCGGTGATAGATTTCACCACTGAAGGCAAATTGTCCCCGAAGAGGTACTCCGTAACTGGCGTCGTGGTAGAACACAGGTGCCGATACCCCGGCGCAATTGCAAATTTGAGATTTTCTCTCCTCTGTTGATTAAGGCTATTGTTGCCTTGGGACAGTAAACGAAGGCTGTCGCCGACTAGTTGAACTAACTCTTTGGGGTCCACAGTCTCTCGTTGAGTATCCAGTATGTTTAACAACTGGATGAGGGGGGTCATTCCCCTCAAAACACAATCCTGGATATTGGCCAACCTGAGGTCTGTAGACCTCTGAGACGCATTCAGTCCAGTCCAAATCTCAGGGTTAACCCGCGGGGCGGTTAATCCTTTGATGTTGGCCGGCCTCTCGTGTTTGTGGCGCAAAGCTGTCAGCTTATCTTCAGGCATTTGTTCCTGGCAGATGTCAGTAATTAGTTGCACAAGCGGCTCAGATACAGCTGGCCCCACTCTGTCGACTCCAGTCAGCTCAGCGCTGATTACATCATAAAAATGATCGGCCGCTTTGTTTTGCCCTGTGGGCTCTGCTTCCCCCACGGAAATATCCTGTGGATCATTTCCGGGGCCCAATGTAGAAGTAGAATGACCTGTGGTCACTTCAAGGTGAGCAAGTAAACGCTCAAAACGATCATCTCTCTCTTTGAGGGCATCGAAAAACACAGTCTGCATCTCCGTGAGACTGGATGCTAGATCAGTTTTCAAATCGTCCATGAGAGACCCCATGTCCCGAGCCGTTACCGACGAAGTGCTAGGAGTAGGAGTAGGCGCCTCCTTGTGGGTAGCCGACTTACTGCTGGCTCTCGTAGCTTTCCCCGACGATTTCGATCCGGTGGATCTATCGTCAGGGCGTGCGGCTTTGCTACAGCTTGCTGTAGCTACATCCCCTGTGGGGACCGCCTGACTAGGCTGACCGCTTATGTCCGCTGTCAGTTGCTCAAACAACGACTTGGCCTCCTTGGCCGCCATATTGACAATGGCCAGAGAGCCCGTAGCCAACGATCAGATGTACGCAGTCCAGTCAAAACACCGCTCCAGAGTGCGTAAAAGCAACCGAATCGACGTAATAAAGTGTCCAATCTTCCAAAAGTCAAACGATAATAAAGAAAAAACACACCAGTTCTGAGAAATTAACGGAAAATCGCGGAGCAAAAAATACGTAGTGCAACCTGAGAGCACGAAGTCTAGTTCACTGAGCATGCGCGGTCTCGGTTCTATCTCACGTAAGCCCTGTTGTGAATGAAGACGAGGTAGAAT